CGGCAAGCTAAGAGTCCTGTTGATGACACACCTGGGTTCCAGGTATACTGTCAGTCTGCCCGCACCGAACCTCGAAGATCCACAATTGCTTGCTAACATCAACAGAGTGCTGCGTGAGATGGGACTGGTAGGCAAAGCCGTGACGTTTCGAATGGATCAAGAAGGATCTATTATTGCTTTGGCAGAAAGACTGAGCAGGTCCCGAAACTGCCCCCACAGCGCAACCATTGTTGATGTGGTTCCAGGATATAGGCCACAAGCCAAAGGCTCGATAGAACGACAAGTTGAATCGGTACGCCAAGGCTTCTGGGCTGTGTGGTTGGACTTGGAGCGCCAAATTGCTCTAAAGAAGTTCCCTGGTCAAGATGCAGAGCTGGGAAAGTACCAGCTTCCCTTAGGGGGTCTCTTGTGGCAAGCCTGTGTGTTCTATGTGTCGAGGTGTTACAATCTGTGGTCCTCGAGCCACGGTGACTCCACCACCAGCATTGATTTGCTGCACGAGGAAATAGTTCACCGAACTAGAACGCTTCCCTTTGGTTGTGTGGTTCAGGCAAAAGTTAGCAAGTCGAAGGCGCATCTTGCTAAATACCGGGGAGCGAAAACAGTCAAGGCTGTTTACTTAGGACCCGTGAACGCACGAGGTGGAGGGATCTTCGCGGCCCCTTTGGTAGTACGGAGATTGACGTATTTCCGACCGGAAGAATCGTTGATGGAGCGTGCGAGGTGGGAACTGTCGAAGGCCTCGCTGTTGCGCAGTCTTTGGTTCTTGATGGTAAAGACCCAGAACGGCCTGTCTTGTATGAACCCGAAGGTGTTGATGATGGTAATGGTCCTGAAGATGAAGTCATGGAAGGTGGTGTTGGTCCTTTAGATGAAGAAGACGAAGAGATGATTGCTGATGATACCTATGCTCCCGTAAGTGCCCCGGCGGAAGAAGGTGAGGCAGGGATTCTGCCTGATGAGGGGGAAAACATGGAGGACATGGAGATTGATTGGCTTACGAATCACCTCTTGGAGTCTTTGTACCGAGGACCTGACGTTCGAGCTACCTCACAGGAGGTGGCTGATTCGTTTACCTTGAAATTCGGAGGAAGTAGGGTCAAGTGCCAGGTACCACGAAATGCGGTCTCTGAAACATCCGGAGAACAGTTGGATCCGAGCCTTTTGTATGCCTCAATGAAGTTGGAACTAGAGGAACTCGAGTCGTTCGGAGTAGGAAAGGTGATCTCTGAAGATGAGGCCCGAAAGTCCGCACGTGAGAGCGGCAGGCGGGTGCTTACCAGTCGGTGGGTCAACACGGTCAAGCGTAAAGGGCTGTACCGGTCACGTCTGGTAGTAAGAGATTATGCTTCGATGGGAGGCACGACCTTGTCTGAAGGTATCTACAGCCCGACTACGAGTTTGGAGGGATTGCGGCTTCTGTTGGCACTGCTTTGTCGAAGAGGTTCAGTGTTGAGCTGTGACGTGAGCGTTGCTTTTATGCATGCAGCAGTGTCAAGGCCTGAGTACGTAGAGCTTCCGAGTAACGTGAGTATTGCGGACTCTAAAATCCCTCAAAAGGCCGGAAACAAGAAGGTGTATCTTCGATTACACAAAGCCATGAACGGACTGAGATCAGCACCGCTTTCTTGGTATAAGGAGCTGAGTTCGCACTTGGAGCAGAGCGGATTCAGTCCAAGCTTGGACCCGACGATATACCGCAGGAAGACCTCCAAGGGTCTGACGCTGGTCCTCTTTTATGTTGACGATTTGTTAATCTACTCTGAGGACCCCTCCGAAGGGAAGAAGGTTTTCGAAGATCTACAGAAACGCTACAAGCTGAAACTAACTGGTGAGCTTCATGAGAATTGTGCGGGAGAAGTATCCTTTCTAGGACGGCGAATCTTCAGGAATAAGGGAGAGAAGCGAGTCTATTTTGGACTGGACGCTAAGTATTTGGATTCCTGCTGTGAAGAGTATGGGATAACCAAACCGAACCCCAAGCTTCCGTCATTGGAGAAGCGCTACTCTGACCTCATTAAGAAAGGCCAAACCGAAAAGATCAGTCCAGCTGCTCACGAGAAGTACCGTAGGACCTTAGGGCGTCTAGCATGGGCTGCCCTCTCCAGACCAGATTTGCAGTTCTGCTGCGGATTTTTGGGGCGTCATCAGTCGGCCCCTGACGAGGCAGCTGAAACATGCATGAGGGATGTTCTCAAATGGGTCAAAGGTCTTCCGCATAAGGTTCAGGTGTTTCCGTCGACTCGGGAGATCCTGGAAGACGATGCGGATCCCCAAGCGGTATCGTGCTTTACGGACGCAAGCTGGAGCCTGAATTCTGTTAGTGGTGGTGTGATTACTTGGGAAAACTGCTGTTTGAAGACGTTCAGCAGGAAGCAATCCACCACAGCCCTTTCGAGCGCCGAGAGTGAGCTTGCGGCGCTTACTGAGATAGCCAGGGAAGGTTTGTACATTGCTCTCTTGACGGAGACCATCTTGGAGGGCATCCCGAAGGACCGGGAAACGGGGTACTACCTTCTTAAGGGGTATTCGGACTCTGAAAGCGCCGTGTCCATTTCCAAAATGGGGACATTGTTGAGGAAAGTCCGCCATATTGAGTTAAGAGCCGCTTTTCTCCAAGAACTTGTCCAGCTTGGAAGATTCACGATTGAGCACATACCAGGTGCTGTCAACCCGGCAGATGCTCTAACAAAAAGCCCAACTAACGACAGTTTGGTCAGCTTGTGCGAGGCTTGTGGCCTCATTCCGGAACCAGTCCCCTGGAAAGAGAAAAATTCCGGAACCAGCGTTTCTGTCACGTTTAAAGAGCCCAATAAACCAGCAGATGAAGTCTGCGAACTGAACGTCCCTGTTTCTTGGCGAGCCGCAGCAGAGAAGGTAGCAAGGAACCAGGCTTCGTATGTTGTGGTTGAGCTCTGCTGTGAAGAAGGAAGCTCTTTGTCAAAAGCTTGCTCGAAGAATCCTCGTATCGCGTATTTTGGAGTGACGAAGCAAGTGGATCTGTTAAGTGAAAACGGATACCAGCTTCTCAAAGAAGTCTTTAGCGTGTTACTTCAGGAAGGGGTGAAGGTGTATGCGCACTTGTCTACGCCTTGTTCGGCTGGGTGCGGACTTCGTCATTTGAGATTTCGAAAAGGTGGACAGGCCTACGCCAGATGGCGGGAGTCTCTGTTGGTCCACAAGAGGTCTTGGCGAAGGATTTGGAACCTTCTCCGTCCGTACGCGAACTGTCCGCGTCTTCTTCTTTCTCACGAGTGGCCAGCTAGGTCTGACTTGTGGAATGAAACGGTCTTTAGGTCTGTAAGTCAACGTCTTGGTCTTGCGAAGGGATGTGTCGTCGATCGCTGTTGCTTCGAGAAAGGTTCTGAAAGAGCCTGGAAGAGGTGGTGGTTTTGTAGTAACTCTTCGAATTTCATCAACAGTATGGCTAGGAACCGCTGTGATGAGAGCCACCAACACATCCACCTTCAGCTCCCGGCGTCAGGTGTGTACCCTGAGCTGTTAGGAGAAGAAATGCTGAAGGGTGCGAGACGAGCTATGGAAGAAGACAGGACTTGAGGACGCAACTGTTGCAGGCATGAGGGGGTGTGAAAGTTTTTGACTTCCTTGTGAGTGCCTTTACAGTTGACAGGATGTCTTGCACATGTGACATGAACCATGAGTTTGCATTGCGTGAGTTGAGAGCTGTGCTTGAACCGTTTGTTTGGTGTTAGCAGAAACAGGCATGGACATAGCATGTTTGGAGCTTGGCTTGAAAGTGTTTCTTGCTTTGAGCTTGACGTGAGATGTTTGGAGTGTGCATGATGAGCAGAGAAGCACTCGAGATGCTTTAGGAGCATCCTTGAAGAAGTGCGTGTTGCTCTGAGTTCGCTCTTTAAACCTTGGCCGCCGACCCTCGCTTCGCTCGTGTCGTCGTACTGAGGTTCGAGCAGAGTGGCTGTGCACTTGTATGCTTGTTTTGCTGAAGCACTGAAGTCCTGAGAAGCACTAGGACGTTTGCATGTGTTCCTCCTTTGTTTAACAAAGTTGAGGTGGAATTCACGAAAGTGAAGCTGCGCTGACTCTGCGAGAGACTTGCCGAACACCTCTGGTGTTTTGGCTCAAGCGTGGAGTGAAAAAGAGCTCTGCGTTTTTCACACGCGTGCAGTTTTCCAACATTTGTCCGCAAGCATAAGCTGAGTGTACTTGTGCTTTGAGTTGCGTGCTGTAAAATTTTGTGGGCTTGGTTGCACTTGAGCCTTGCGAGGCATCGACGGGTTCGTGCTGTCGAACATGCTCCGATCCGTATGTAGTTCAGTTTCGGGCCCTTCTCCCGGGATGTGTCGGGCCACATGGCGTTCCATGTGTGTCGCTCGGGGGCCCCGACACTAAAGCCAGCATTGTATCCTGGGATGCCTTTGGGAGTTATAGGAGCTTAGACCCAACGTCGCGCTCGACGGGCCCTGGCGATGTGTCGGCTTGCAGGTCAATGCGTTACCAGTGCGGGTGCAAAAAGCAAGCGTTTATGTTATGATTCTTTCGATCCAGCAAAAACGACGTGGAATGCCACGGGACCTGACGGCGGACACCCAAAACCGTTCGGGGTCATACCTCCCGAATCCTACTAGTCGTTGAACGATTCGGTGCTGATCGTGGTTAACTTCCAACTTGCGCAGTGAAAAGCAGCTTGTAGGGCTTGAGGTAGCAACTGAGAGCACAAACAGCCACAACGAAGCATGCTACTGACCTGGATCGTACGACTTCCTTCGATTTTCTTCAAAATCCTGCAATTCCTTTCCCCCAAAGGCCGGCTCCCCCATCAACGTGTGCTTCAGTGTGTGTGTGTGTGTGTGTGTGTGTGTGTTTCGGAATCCAGGCTTTGATGGGAAGTGTCCCATGCATACCGTTGAAGCATGCGCATTTTGCCAAACAAGTTACTCTCTGTTGGAGAAGCATTTTCAATATCAGGACAGCGTCCTTCTGCCATGCTTGTGCTGCAGCAAACCACTATGGGTTTAAGCATGGAGGGGTACTTAGCGGATGCTGTGGCGGAAGCCATCGAGCCTGTCCAACATCTGGAGAAGGCCGAAGGGGGGGGGGGGGCATTGGCATCATGGTGTGCATCGGAGAGAACTATTTGGGCGATTCGGCGAGGAATGGGAGCCAGCCAAGCTTTGCAAGCGACTTCGTCCGAAGCTTATGCAGAACTTGCTTTGGGTGCCCACCAAAACAGGTTCAGCAACATTGGGGAGTGATGCTTTTGACCGGTCTAGTGAACAGGGGCACACATCAGTTACGACATACATGGTTTGTTTCTGTGCGCCGCAGTTGCGACTGAAAGGCGAGTATTTCAAGAAAGCGGCGAAGTCTTTGGAATTCAAAGACAAGGGGAGGTGTGCTGGGCTGTTTCAGTCATGCTTTGTTTGGACGGTATAGCTGCCAACCGATGCAGGTCATGGACGGGACTAGTCAATGACTTTGCAGATTCCGCATTCTCTTCGATTTTCCAAGCCATTGGTGATCGGCCGACGTCCAAGATATATCTCAGAAAGAACGTTTGCATTGGAGATTGAGGCTCCAGGCATTGCAGTCTGGTTGTGGCCTTCTCACAGTCGAGGCAGTGGTTGGACCAGGTCGATTTCATTTTCGTATTGGATGCTGGGATCAAGGACTCCAGAGCCAATGGCGCTCAAGAGGTCCTTTATGCCATTCGGCTATGTTTTCCCAAGCGTTGGCGGGCCTGTGTTTCCTCAGGGGCTTTGACTGTGCAGGAGTTCTTTCCAAGACATGTGCTCGACGATGTGCGGCTCGGCTCCGTCACTCTTGGAGTTGATTCGGTGTTCTTCTTTTGTCTTTTTGCGCCTCCATGGCAGGTATGTGAAGTGCAGTTCGGACTCAGTTGACTCAGACTGTCCCAAGGCCACAAGCGGAGCTGGAGCGCTCGGTGTTGGCTGCGCATGACCGGGCCTTCGAGGAGCGACGAGTACGAGTAGGAGGTGTGATGAATGATACTAAATGTACTAAGTCGTGCCTGAAAGGGTGAGATACAGTCCCACAACAGGAGCAGAGATACCTGCCAAAGCTGTATGACTTTCTCGAGTCGATGGGCTTGACTGGCAAGGCCCCAGCCGATCGCTGCTTTTGACACTTTTCATGGCATAATGGCAAGCAGGCATTTGTTTGGCGTAGCTTCACTTGGCCAATGCTGAGAGTTGTGGTAACATGCCTCAGCAGTTTGACCACAAAGCAACGTTTTCTGCGCTAAACGGTCTTGGCAGACGCGGAAGAAGGCCTATGACAGCGTTGATGAAGGTCGCAAGGCAGGAATTGAGCGTCTTCTCGTGGAACGGGCACATGGGTGTACGTAGTGCGCACCTAGTGCGTGCATGCGCATGACCTGGGATGCCTCTGAGAGGTCGCTCTGAGATACATGCGAGATCCGTCAGCTCCTGATGAGGTCAAGGCAGGGTTATGGTGAGCTTTAATCGACAGCCATGTACACTGCATGTACATCCACATTCATCGGCGCTCACAGAGCCCTGAGGCATTCGTGTCACGCTGGGTAGACGCCACCGTGAAGAACTTGCACAGATTCACTCAGGGTGGTACACTCGGAGGAGATATTACCGGACCCATGGGTGCCAATGCTTTATGTTGCATGTCCATAGGTGATCCTGCAAGTGCCTGGTTCTCAGCATGGGAATACTTTGAGGTCTTGACTCATGGTCGCATTCGTTTTGCATGAGGTATTGCCAGGTTCGCAAAGACTCGCAAACTTCCTTCCGCTCTGCCAAGTGACTCAAGCGAATGCAGAGCTCGTGCCTTCGAGCTGTTCATGTGAGGTCTTGGATGAGGGCCAGGCGGCTCAGATTTTTGAGCAGCTCCTGAAGGTCCCTTGCAAGGATGTCTGTGGGCTTGTGGAGCTTACAGCTAGCAGAGAAGGGCTGTGACCATTCGGGCGCCGGCCGTTGCTCAGCAAGTGTGCATGCAGCTCCGGATGGCCGTTTGAGACTCCAAGAACACCTAGTTTCTGGGGGTCATCAGCATACATGGCGACTGCAGCATGCATACTTACCCTCTTCTCCTCTCTCCAAAGGATCACGCTTGTTTTCGCGAATCGACTTTCCGAATTTCCACCCTGTAACTTTCCTTATTTCCATCTTTAAGCTTCCATGTTTTCATATTTCAGTCTGGATACTTAAAGGGTGGAAATCTGCAACTCTGGAATCTTAAAGGGCAGAGACTTGGCAATCTGGGTCCAACTTTCGTTGGTAGAATTGCTGGATTTAGTTTCTTGATTGTATTCGCGTACCGGTCACATAGTCATAATCGCTGAAAAGGCAGCTGTACTTTCTGTATGACCGGTAATCTTGGAAGAACATGGAGGACCGCTAGTTGGACAACCGATGCACTAAACGAGCTTTGGTGTTCGAGACGTAGGCCCTCGAACCGTAGCGTCTAAGTTCTCGCCTGAACACACTATGTGTTCGAGGGGCCCTGCAGGATGGTGATTTGTTGACTGAAGCGTAGCCGTAACTCTAATGAGGCGAAGTCCGAAGCGCCGGTGAATAGCATCGGGCGGGTAATTGTTATAAGTTATAGCTGACCTCCAATTATGTAAGTAATCTGCGGGCTTCAGAGGAGGGAGCTGTTTTGGAGTATAGTTGATGAGCTGCGAAACCCAAAATTCAACTTCGAGTCCATCTGTTGGTCACAGAGTTAGGCTTCAGATGCAATTAACGATTAGCCCAAAGTCATTAAGTCGAATATCCATTTAAGTTCACCTTTTGATGAAGCACATTTGATGTCTGTACATACAATTGGCCTCTAGTCCCTGTAAGTTATTTACAGTTTTCAGTTGGGGACCTGATGCAGGAGCATTGCTAAACAAATTCGAAACATGCAAATGAGGGGTCAATAATTAACCGGCCCAAAGTCATTGAGCCGAATAACCTTTTGAATCACCTTTTGATCACCAAATGATAGTTTCATGCTTTTGCTTGACATATTTGACCCCCCCCAGGTATGACTTCATATTCGTGAAACAAGCAAGAGTGTCAAGTTATTGACTTGGGGAGAATCCAAAAAAATTTTTGGAGCTACCTCAGCTAATTATATCACAAGCTTACTTCATATTGCATGCATCAAGCTGAACATCATCTGGAATCACTATCTGATTAAGCTAAGTTTCATGAGTGTACTTCACATACTCGACGGAGTCATGCCAGCGTATTTTCATTAAACAGACCTCCAGCTTACGTGAAGTTAAGGGAGTATAGTCCATGAACAACGAAGTTCATTCAAAAGGTTAGTCACAGAACTCGCCTGCAAATCCAAAGAATAGATTCCCGGTTTTGAATCACTTTCTGAGGAAGTCATAGTGTCAGGAGTCTGTTTCACCTATTTGCCAGATCAGTAAACAAGCAAGAAATGCGCAACATCTTGAATTGGGGAGAACTCCTAACGGACCCAATTATCTGTGGTATTAATGTTTTGAGATAAGGTAGCATTCGCAAACATCTTCGTCTTACCGCCATGGGCCAGCTGCCGAGACTCGTGCTTTTGCCCCAGCTTGTGATGATCTCCACAGCCCAACCTCCGTGGCTGGAGCAGCTTGTGATGTGCAACCTGCACTGGCCTTTGCGGCACGTGCAGGTTGTCGACTCAAAACTCATGGTCCAGAACGCGAAGGAGCCTCCTCGACCTGTCGTTCCGAGTCGGTTCGGCGCATCCATTACTTTCAGCATCTTGGATACAAGCTCCTTGTGCGGCTACATGGCTGGCCAAGGGTATTTCTCACAAGATGTGGGTCGGGAAGTGTTACGAATCGAGACGATTCGGCCCTTTCCGCGCAAGATGATGTTCAAGGCTACGAACCTCACAATGCTAAGCATTGGACGTGAAGGCTGTAGTCCCAGTGATCCAGGAGTCTGCCGTAGGGCCCCCATGTTCGGAGCACAAGGTTTCCACGACATTTTCGGTTGGGCCTCCGATCCTAGCCTCTCTGAGTATGTGGGGAAGCTTTCTGTCGCTGTGTGCATTGTGGCGTTTCCGCCAAGGGAGCAGCAGCTTCAACCAGAGTCTCTGCGCTGATGGCAATCGCCCTGTCGAGCTGAACATCACCACGAGTCAAAAGAAGGTTGAAGGGATCGAGACCAAGTACATAAGTTATCGGTTTATGGGCATCGAGCAGGTGGACACCATGCCTGACAAGCTGGCCTGTGATGTTTTTTGCAAGAGCTCTAAGTCGGTAGCCCTGGATGCTTACGTCTTCCATCCGAGCAGCCCAGCAAGCTACAGCATCGAGGACCAAGATGTCAGTGATTTGCTGGGCGATGCACTGTACATCTGCATGGACGGCTTGCAGAACCATTCCTCTTTCACTGATCACGACTATTCTCTGGTCTCTCGGTACTCACTCCGAATCTCCTCTGCGTTCGGACAGTACGCGCTGTGTAATGGCTACCCTGACACGACTCCACCAGAGCCAGTCTGCAGAGGAGGAGATGTGCGGGAGAGAGGCGCCCTTCCTTGCCGGGGATGGGGAGTCCAGATGCGGCGAGAGCTCTGTCGGCTTTTGGGAAGGCTGTACCAGAGCCGGCCGCTGCAAAGAGGGTGTGCTGCCTTCGGGATCTGCCAGTTCAGGTTGCACGTGGTCAATTCTCAAGCGCCTCAAGACCATCAGCAAAGCATGCTTGTTGCACGACCACGGCTTCCTCTCGCACTGCAGCGCAGATCTTGCGCAAGGACGTGCCTTCAAGAGGAGTGCGCGGGCTCTGTTGGCCGCCTTTAACTCGGATGATTCCTCCAGGGGAGGTTGTCCGGATGTCGGAGGACCGAACCAACTGTGATGTGGGTGAATCTCAGGGCAAGAGCATCGGCTAGGGATTTCCATCTTCCGCGGTGGCCTCCGAATGGTCGGACGTTTGCCCCGCTCTAAACAGACTCAAGGATGGTCGGGGCGCATGAAAAGTTCGCGGCAGATCCATTGATGAAAGGCTCTGTGTAGTTGTAAAGCCGTACCTCTACACCTTTGAAGCTGTCAAAAGTAAATGCTGAAGTTGCAATGTGTGGAGCGTCCGGTCATCAAGCATTAAGCGCATGTGCATCCCAAGCACGCAAAAATAGAAAGGCTTCCCACCCACTTCCCAAAAGAACAGAGGCCCAAAGAACCTCCACCCAGACTCTCGCACGCACAGGTTCCGTATCACGGCATAGCATTGCATTGCATAGCATAGCATAGCATAGCATAGCATAGCATAGCATAGTGCTATAATCGACCTTGCTTCGGCGTTATGTAGCCAGTCGCATACAAGGTCTCAGTCGGTGGACTGATCCGCAATCCCCAAGCTGCTGCTCTGTTCCGCCCAAGCCCTTTGCCATGTGCGGCATGTGCAGCCTGGGATACGCTGCCTGCCGCAGCTGCTTGCTAGGCCAGTACACTTGGGAATCTCCACGTGGCTGTTCATATGCTTTGGGATTCTTTGGGGGAAAATCTAGCCTTGCATGGCCTTGAGTTTGCTGAGGTCGGGAGCGCAGCCGTCCACTGTCCACCGTCGAGCACCCGAGCATGCTTGTTTGCGTGGAAGCATCTCCAATCGTTGCCGCACTCTGCAGGCTTGTCCAGTAGGAAGTTCTGGCTTGAGATGTTCGAGTTCCAGTTCGACCCGGTGCGTTGGCCATTCTGGTTCCAGCTTTCTGAGCACTGTTGAAGTGCAGATGGTCTCCGATGACATATTCGTGAGAATCGACTAGCTGGCAAGCACAAAACAGCTTGTATCACATTCTCCAGCCATTCATGTGCTCAGTCACAGCGTACGCCCAGTCAGCCAAGCCAACTCCATCATGATTCTTTGGGTTCTGCTAAAGACAGTGTTTCATCTGCCATGCAGAGCAGCTTATCGGAGAGTCGCATTCGCCATTCTAGCAACAGTGCCGAGACTCGGCAGAAAAGTTTGGACTTGCACCTCATGAGCTTCGGGCTTTCCATGTACAGTCCAGTCTGTGAACTTCAGGAGCAGCTCGTCCTGGAAGGTGTGGATCTGAAAACATTGGGATGTCTTGCATGTCGCAGTTTCAATCTTATTTTCTGCAGCTCAGGCGTCGACCAGGACAAGCATCTTTGGCATGGCCGTGAGGCGGCTGCAGCGACTTGGTGCAATGATGTGCAATGTTCATAGCTGTCATAGCTTCGTGCGAGAATGGGCAATGGCACCCGAGGCTACTGTACACAACTATGCCGCCGATATGCAGGCAGAAACCCAAGGGATGGCAGCGAAGTAGAAACACAGCATGACACGCAAAATGCGTCATTCTGAGTGGTCCCCAAAGGGTCGCCTTGACGTGTGTCTCAGGGGGCCGTGCGCGGCACGCTGGGTATGGTGCAAGGCGGGAGAGCGAGTCTTGATTCGGATCCCAGGACGTCCCTGTGCGTGCTTCGCTGAATCACTGAAGCTGTACTCCAGACTCGGGTGTTTTTGGGGTTTAGGGTTTAGGGTTTAGGGTTTAGGGTTTAGGGAATGTGGGGTTTCGGGTTGGAGTTTTAGGGTTTTGGGGTTTAGGGCTTAGGGCCCCAGAGAGCAAGCTTGGAATTCCTGAAAGTTTATGATCTCGGTTTAGGGTTTGGGATTTTGGGTTCGGGTTTTAGGGTTGATGGTTTAAGTCTGGGGTTGGGGGTTTGGGCTTTTAAGGTTTCAGGGTGTTAGAACTTAGAACCAGGAAATGCTGCTTATGCATTCTATTGCTTGTGAGTTTGTGGGTCATGTATGTAGAAAGGGTTTCGGCCTTCATGACGTGAAATGTTACGGGGGTGGGCTGCTGGGTGTATTCAAGGTTTCAGGACTTTAAAGGGTTTCAGAGTTTTGGATGGTCAAGCTCAATCCTGTTCTCCTGCTGGTTTCTGACTTGCACTGTTTTGTTTCTGACGCGTGTGGCTTTGTTTTCTGACTCGGTCGTTTTGGTTTTCGGACTCGGTTCGACTCATTTTCCCGACTCGCCGGTCACCCCACTGTAGACCTATATACCTCTATCTCTATCTACATACATGCCCAAAACGGATGGCTGCCTGGGTCAGGTGTCATCTTCCCATGCATGGGCAACATCCTCGGTGTGATCCTCTTCCTACGAGGCCCCTGGCACCTTGGCCTCAGCTGGTCTTAGGAGAGTCTTGGGGGACGTCTCGTTTAAATTCTTCTAATTGAGAACTGCCTTCGTGCCGTGTTTACTGAGGATTGTTGGGAAGGGAGGCATCCTCGAAGCCTTCGGCGTGGGTCTGGTGTGTTGCTGCCTGGTGACAAACGATTCTGGGGGTTGGGTTGTCGAGGTGTTTCGAGGTGTGGCAAAGTCTGTTGTGTACTGCATGTCGCTGGACAGTGGCGCGGTAGTTCTTGGTTGCGTGGGCATTTCAGGCACATGTACATTTCTTACAACACTCAGCCTCTCCGCAATCGCCACGAACGGCAAAATCGCCGGTGGCGGTGCGTACTACTTGCTCCTTGGACAAGAGAAGTGTGTGATTCCCAGGAGCGTAGTGCAGCAGCTTGTCGCTGCAATGTCCAAACAGGCGTAAGACGCAAAACGTTTTGATAAAACACTGTTCTCGAAGGATTTCGCGGTCTCTTGGCCCAGCTTTGGGTGCTGGCGTGGGGCTTTGCTTCTACATGGCTTCCTGGTGGCATGGAGAAGAGTGAAAGTGGCAGGTTTGAATCGAATCAACGCACGAAACAACTCAGCCAGGATCGAGAGCTTATGCTGGCCCGCTTGGCGCGTTAACTGGCGATTGGGTTCCCTAAAGTGCTGAGCTCCTTTCCAGGTCCTGCCAATGTCTGCCCCATGCGAGGTATACCGCGAGGGCCTCTCTTTAGGGCTCCCTTTTAGGGTCTTCGGCTTGCTGCCTCCTTGGAAGGCACGAGGGTACAGGCTCCGGTCAGGCCAAGGCTTGACATCCAACATTTCCTTTTAGGGCGTTCGGTTTGCCAATCTGTTGAGGGTTTGCGGCTTGCCCACAGCTCCCTTTGGGCTTATGACTCTCCAGCCATGTGTAGCGTCTTCTTGGTCCAGGACCAACCCCGGCACTTGGTTTGTCCGCCAGAATCGTTGTTTGGGCTCGGGGCCTGCAAGTGTTTTCTTTTCGGGAAAACGGCTTTGCCAGCAATCTTCTTTTTGCGGTTGTGGCTTGCCAGCGTTGTCTTCGGGCTTGAGGTTTGCACGCTATGAACTCCTTTCTGGGTCCAGGGCTCGCCAGCCAACATCCACTTTCAGGGACTTAGGTTTGCCGTTCGAGGACGAGCACTGTCCAAAGCGCGAGCGTCCATTTTTCAGGCTTTAATGCTTTCCTGCCAACGTCTCATGTTAAGGTTTAAAAGCTTGCCTTGTCATCATCCCGGTTGAGGGCTTAGGTTTTGCCATCCCAAGTCTTCCATTTTAGGGATTTTAGGGTTGAGGGCCTTGAAGGCTGCCGGGGTCTAGCTAGGGCTGCAGGGTTTCAGAGGGTCAGGTCTTGGCCGTGCAGGTGTGAGGGTCTCAGGGTTTGAGGCTTTGAGGGCTTGCTTGAGGGTTTTAGGCAGGCCTTCAACAGATGTTTCAAGCTTGACAGTCCGGTAAACCTTTTCTTTCAAGCCTGCGACTCCTTTCAGACTGTTGTGGTTTTGGTTTAAAGGGTGTCGTCAAGTCCTGTTCGGCTACAGCTCTTCAAACCCGGGGGGGGGATACCTTATGTGATGGATTGCCACGGTAAAATATCGCTTTTGGCAAGGACCAAGGATATGATATGCAGTTTCGGCAATGCAGGTTTTTCGTGGCCGTCTCAAGTTCGGAGTGCGGAATGGGGGCTTGCGGGGGGGGGGGGGGGGTATGCAGGACCTGCTTGCGATGGTGTTTATGGTTATCTGCTGTTGGTGTGTCCAAGGCGAACTCCATTGGAGCTGCTATGTACTTCATGGGTTGCCACTCGGCCGATCGCACCCCATCGCACCCTTTTGCAGTTTTTGAGTGACTGCCAGCGCACGCTCCGAGGTGTGGAGGCTTGGGAGATTGCACAACCGCAGCATCAGCCGCTGGTCTGCAGGGTCTTGGTCTCCTTCATGTGGTCGCACTGTCGCATGCCATGCTTCTACGGGTGTGCTTCTGCAGGATTGGTGAGATTGGGGACTTAAACAATGTGCGCCTGACGGGCTATTTGATCCTGGTCTTTGCCGTGGTGATTATCTTCGGCGGAATCAAGCACTTCGGACCTTGAATGTACCCTGCCTTTCGCATGTGCCTGCCATGCCAACCTGAGGTATGTCTCGCGCTTGGGCACCGTTTTCCTTATGGTGGTCTTGCCCGGTGCTTGGTGTACATCTGCAGGCAGCAGGGCTTCGCACTTTGCCTGTTGAGCTCGGCAAAACTGTTGAGGTTTGTGATCCTCTGCATGTATGTTGGCTGCTTGATTGGCCCAAACGATCTGCGGCCAGCAACCTACACGGACGCTTGGCAGAGCATCGCATCCCTTGTGGTTTCAGGATGCGATGTGGCAGTTACGGCATGGCATGCGTGTCGAGGTAGACTTGGTCACCGCAGATGGCTCCACAATTGCGAAGACGCTGTCGTGGACAGGCTTGGACGCTTTTAAAGAAACGTAGCCGACTGTAGCAAACTGATCTGGTCATGAGTCGTGATACGGAAATGTGCAGAATGGTCTTGGAGAGGTGTTAAATGTTAAATAAAGACACTTGTTTGAGCGCTGCAGGTCCGTCTGCGACATCCTTTTCAGACAACTGGGCTTCTGCCTGGGATGCGCCTCAGGGTGCCTTTCCCAAGGACACCACAAAGACGCTCAGCAGGCTTAGTTCAAGGACCTGAGACCTCACGTGCGGCACTGACATCTCTGACCGATTTTTGCTCTAGGGTCATTTTGGTTCAAGCAAGGTATAGCTTCGTGAACATGATGGGCCTGTACTTCCCCTCAGTGACGGGGATCATGGCTGGTGCCAATCGCTCGGCGGACCTCATGGACCCCACTCGTGCCATTCCGAAGGGGACGCCTGATACCGCATGGCCGTATGGTAGCTGCTAGCATGGACGTGAGGTACTGCGATCGGCGCTTTGACTGACATCGAACTTCTGCTAGACATGTAAGGACCCTCTTTGCGCAACTATCGACATCCTTCATCTACCTCTCCTTCATCTTTGTCACACGCCCAGCGACAGTTGCAGACCATGAGAAGTACAGACTCAGTGTCTTCTGCTGGCTCTCTGAGTATATTCTTCCTTCTATGGCTGGCTTGAACGGAGCACGGGCACAGGCGGCATAGGCATCCGTTGCGAAGCTGCTCCATTCTATATGATCAGGTCTTTGGAAGTTGCGCTCCGCGGGAAACCTTGCTGAACGACAAGTTTTTTGCCCCTTTGCCTATCATTGGTGTTGCTCAATTAAAGCAGCTTTATCTTGTGAGTGAGCTCTGGCATGAGGGCAGGGCATATATCGGAAGCACATGCCCAGAGAAACCCCCAAAGCAAGGCCTCTTGTTGAACTGAAAGAAGGTAAGTGAATCGTGTGTTTGCATGTTCTCGAAGCAGGCATCAACCTCTGCTTTTCCGTTCAAGGAGGCGGGGTATCAGTGTTGTGGATTGGAGATTGGCAGGAGTCGAACGCAATGCCCTTGTTTTGTTGCATGTGAGAGCTGTTAAGTTGGAGGCGTGATGGAAGCGGAAGGGTGGCTGAATCTCAAGAAATGCTATTGAAGATCATTTGGACTCACCTCACAGATTGTGAAATGCTGGGGGCAGAGGTAGAAGAACCTTACGTGTTCCACAAGCAGAGAACACACACACACACACACACCTTCCAAAGGTCCTACAATGACTTTGTAGGACCCAACTTGACAGACGGGCAGGATTCTCCGGATTCTGTTGTCAACTAATCTTGTAGCATGTCAGCCCTAAGCCCCAAACTCTGCACACCCACAAGATCCCACAAGATCCTACAAGCCTAAAGTCACATGAGGTCTGCAGAACCTAAAAGCATTCCTACAAAACCTGTCTCCAACAACCATCACTCATACAAGATGAACCCCGAACAGATCTAAAGCTCAACTGCTGGCTATGCCAGAGAACAAGAACGGAAACCCTAAACCCTCAAGACTCAAGACGTGCTGTATGTTTTCACGGTCAAAGTTGATAATCAATGAGATCCAACCTGGCACGTCCGCTGAAAACACCCAACCTTCCCATCTACAGCACGAGATTCTTCTGAGCAATCTGGTAGTTGCAGAAGCACCTGCATCTTCCGGGTGCGCTCGCCTCTCTGGTTCTAGGCTATCTATGTCGTTTTTCAGGTTTTGAGCCTCAGTTCTTCATGAAGCCCGTGCTACACCAGATTCAATGAGAACAACGTCTGTTTTTTCTCTTTCCCTCTCTCTCCTTTGAGTAATGCTTCGAATGAATCGGTGGCAGCATGGTCAAACATGAACTGGAGAATCCCAAATTTTCAGCAAACATTCCGCATTTCTGCAACCAACCAGTTCTAATCCATTTCTTCCCTTTTTCCTTTTCTCTACTTTCCACTGGAACCTGCGTGCAGATCGTTATCTACGGCGTCATGGCTTCCAGCTTGGGTGCGGGCTTAAACTCGCTGGTCTCAGGCAGGGCATGGACGTGCTAATCATGCTTTGTTTTTGATCTCTCTCTGTGTGCCAGGTACCAAGCTCCTCAGCGCTATTGCTGGCGATGGGACTCTGCCCATCCTTCGTGTTTTTCGAGCTGCGAGGGGCTTGGAATGATCGTGAGCTTCTTGAACATCTAGGCGTGTGTCCTCCACTCAATTTCCAGGCTCCTGGAAAAGAACCCCGACTGGCACTGTTGGCAACTGGGCTGTGAGTTGGAAGTCTCAATCCTCACAATTTCTCGCACTTATTTGAGGCGAGTGGAGCCCTCTGCGCTTTGTCCATCACCATCGGCGAGCCCGGAGCTATGGGATGTGCACTTGCACAGAAGCTTGCGTGGGGTTGATTGGGTGCAGCAGTTCGTTGTTGTCAGCTTGCTCTTTTAAGTGCACTTTGCGGTGTTAGGTTGAATGCCATCGCGCCTCTGCTGACGATGTTCTTCCTGATGTGCCTTGAGCAAATCTCATTAGAGATCCCCTGGTATGGACGGCAGCCCACCACCTCAAATGACCTGAAAGAATTCACTTGTCAGCTGCCTGGATTCAGGTGCTACACCTGCGTGGCTTGGCCGCACATCAGTGTGCTGTGCGGGTAGGGCCTTTGGCCAAGGGCCAGTATTTGCAGAGGCGACAGCGGGCGGATGAGCCCGGGAGGGGGGCCCAAAGGTTCAAAGTGGGACTGTACAGACACCAAAATCGCCAAAGGGAAGGGTGTGCGGGGGTTCCACTCACACATGCCCATCTGCGCACCCTGAGCTGAATGCTTGAGCTTTTTCCCCGCTTAAACCTGCCTATCCTGCCTTTATGCCTTTGCTGCAGGTGAACATGTCCTGTACCATCCTGCATTTCGTTAGTGACCCAAACTGGAGACCGACCTTCCGCAACTCAGCCGGCAAGCCAGTGATCCTTCAAGACGCATCATCGGGAAGGATTGAGAAGGTTGATGAGCGTTGCATTTCACGCTTTTTCCTTTGATGGCGCGGCTAGCCGACTACCCCCGACACAGTGCACTTGGAGTCAGGATACCACCACTGGTCAATTTCGCTGATTGCAGCCGCCCTCTGTGCTCGTGCCTCGGGTCCCCAGCCATCGTCGGCCAGCCCGAAAACTTGTCAAAATCACGGGTGGACACAATGCAGCTGATCACTCGTCCTAACTCGTCCTAACTCGTTCTCACTGAGGTCTGGATGATGTTTGCCATGGCCGCAGTGATTGCAATGGCGGCCCTCCAGCTCAACATCCAGAAGCCAAGGGTCACCTCCGGTCACAGGGTTTTCAGCGACTTCGCACTTGCATGAAACTCTGGGTGCGTTTAAACGGGAGAGAGAGAGAGTTACGCTTCGGAAGTGCGGCCAGGCTTGAAACGGCTTTGAAACGTGGCTTGCGCCCCTGTCTTTGCCCAGGCCATCCTTTTTTGCGGCTTAATCCTTGCCTACGCCGCCTACAACTCTGCAAACACCAAGTGGGGTGATGGCTTCCAGGGCATGAAGTTCCAGCGTCCTGGCTCGGAACTCCAAACTCCAAGCAGCCAAAGCAGCCAAAGCTAGCAAGCCGTTGTGGACTCTGCTTGTGACGTCGGCACTCTTCTGCTTCAGCGAAGGCTGGCAAAGAACATCCTGATTGGCAGCTTTCCTGCGAAGTTGGGGCTTGTAGAAGGTCCTTTCTTGTGGAGGTGAGAGAGATTTCTGGAGAGGCCCGGGAAGGCCCCTCCAGGCCCCCCCCGGAGGGTTTTGGGAGCCCTCTCAAGCCGAGGCATGGATGCCAAGCTGCACACGAAGAACTGGCGACCACAGCTGCCGCTCGGCACAGATGACACCTGACACCCAGAGAGCAGAGCGAGCCCCCCTTCTTTCCTTCGCTTCGCCCGTGGCTGTACTAAGTTACTACATCCTCAAAGGGGGTTATATGTACTGTAGAGGTTTGGCAGGAACAACCGCAATTTCAGGGCGTTTGTGTCCACTTCTGAAATAAACACGTGAGAAGGACGCCGCCCTGGAAGAAAAGCCTAGGAGCAAGACCTCGAGATGGAAAGAAGGAAGTGCGTAAATGAATCTACGAAGAAATGACGGTCGACATAAACGAACCGCAACATTTAATAGGAACGACCGAGCCGCTGAAATGAATAACAAAAGTCAGGACGACAGAATGAGCGACATACGCAATACAAGCGTCTTTGTCAATGTTTGGAAGGCGGGGTGGGTGAGGGAGTTCCCCCCGCAACTGTGTTAGCCGTGGCCCTCCAGTTTGCAGACGACAGCAGTGATTGCTTCTGGAAACACAAACAACTGTAGAGTATTCTGCAATACGGTTGAAAAACTGATGAACTGGAGTTGTTCCCATTCAAGTCTATTGAAGCGAACGGAATCCAACACAAAACGACCATGAAATTGTTCAAGATCCCCAGAGGCATGAGCTTGTGTCACTGCCAGCGTGAACGCATGGGACCGAAGCAGGAGCCCGATTTCAACTAGAAACGTGCATGGGATGTGTCAGTCATAATGAAAACCGTCCCGGAACCCATCGTCGAACCAGCATTTAGACGGCTGCACCTTGCCGGGAATACACACATGCTTTTTAGATGTTGTTCACATGTTCTTACTTGAAATCGTGTTTCGGTCCTGAAAGTATGTTTGGATCTTTAGAACACGTTTGTTGATCCTTCAGCCCTGATTTGCTGTTTCAGAGGTTTGTGAATGTGGTGCTAAGAAAGGCTTTTACCATGGGTTGCCGGTCATTGCTACGCCAGGCTGGTTGTCACAGAGCCGAAGATGAGGCACGACATCTGCGACGGGCCCCTCCCCTCCCCTCAGAATCCCTGAGCTTCCGCTTCCCTCCTCATCTGGTTTGTTCATGTCCGGTGTCCGGTCCATGGAGCCAATACACGAAAGAGTCTCAGAGAGTTTTTTGGAGGCCGCTGAATTCCACCGAGGGCTCCGCCAGGGACTTGGAGACCCTGAAGTCCTGTGCAGAATGGAGAGTTACATAATGGAGAGGTACGTTCGTGAGATTCTCAATCTGTTCCTGTGAGGCTTTGCTTTTCCCGGATCTGGGGATTCTGAAGATTGCCTCGCAGCTGAAGAACGGTCGCGGCTTCATTGTGCTGGGTGGCATTTGTTCAACGAAGGCGGATGTTGCACACATGTGCTTGACCTCGTGAGACAAAGGAACCAGGCCCAAGGATTATGCAAGGTTGGGGCCAGAAAACCCACCGGTTTGCCTGTGCCTTCAGCTTGTGGGCTGAAAACATGTGTAGACTGCTTGTGGAGCCGTGTGCTGTGCAGGGCCCGGAGAAGCTTCTATCTCAGGGCGGGCTGTTCCTCAGCGTGCCTTGGCCATAGTGGCTTGGCCGTTGTCCGTTCACCACCCCCCTGGCGCTGCAAGGAGAGAATGTCGGACCAGGTGGCAGAGAGCCACTTCGAGGTGAAAGAGCTGCTGAGGAAGTGCCTCGAGCGCATTGTCTTCGAGAAGCGCTGCGAGGGAAACGGGCACTGTGGCCCCGCATGTCAGGTACATGATCGATGGCTTTGGCAAGATCGTCTACTCGGAGCCACCACCGGCCTTGTCAATATTTGTCAATGGATTGTTTAGGGAGTTTAGGGCTCGTGGGGCTCGTGATGCTGGTGCGCCACACCTCGTCGCTGGTTCGAGGAGGACTTCACCACGGCCCTCACGGGTTTGGTGCAGTCATCGGGCCTGGGGGCATTCGAGCCTAACTGCGTACTGGCAGCGAAGCCGCAGCATGAGAGCGGCAGAAGTGCTGAGCAGCTTGCAAGTTGGGGGCGTAGTGCTGCGGGAGATGTGGGAGCTGAATTCGTCATGCCAAGGCTTCCTGGCCCCGTGATGCTCTCCAGTCTGGGAAAGCTGGGGTGGACACGCGAGCCAAGCTTGCAACTAGGCAAAACAAGACGTGGGTGGCGTGTTGCGCTCTGTGGGCTTCTGGGTGCTTTTTGGTCGACTGTTGCGGAGATCCTTGGCATCCTCTCTTTTGGAGACTGAGGTAAACATGGTGCAGCCCTGGCCTTAGTGCAGTAATTCTGCAGCTGGGCTCGCCAAACCGTTGTTCGCTTCACGACGCCTTTCCGAGGATCTCCGCGATCTTCCAGAAGGCGTGCTGGGATCACCATCATCATCATCATCATCATCACCATCACCATCATCATCATCACCACCATCACCATCACCATCACCATCATCATCATCACCATCATCATCATAATCATCATCATAATCATCATCATCATCACCACCATCATCATCATCATCATCATATACACACAAAGGTATACATGTATATGTATGTGTTCTATGGTAGTCTTCGTTTCATTCGTTTCCTTTCGTTTCCTCCCCCAGGTGATGATCCTCACAAAGGGTGAAGAGTGGCCTGAGTTCGACGTGCCTTGGATCTGACACTCCGCTTTGTCGAATGCATTCGGGCCTCGTGTCATGGGACGACGCTCGATGCAAGGCCCGAATAACTGGAACCATCGACATTTGGTGGATTGTCGGGGATGGCGGAGTCGCGCACTTAAGCCGGATGCAGAGCTGTGGAGAGAACATGAGGTTGTGCGGAGACACGTCGCCGGTAAGCTCGGAGGAGAAAGCTTCAAAATGCTCTGCAAAACTTAGGCAGCTACTGGTAAGTCAGGTTCAAAGCCAACCAACACCAACCAACACCAAGCAACGAAGCGGTTTCCATCGGGCAGCAACGAGGTTCTGTTGTTGCTGCCTTGCCTTCTGAAGAAGCACCGGGTCTGGTCTGGCTGCCGAATTCGTCTCTTTGTGCTGGCTGACAGGCCATCAGCGAAGCAATAGAGTGGGGAGAGAGCGGGCAGAGAGCGAGGGACAGGCACAGTGAGACCGAGGGAGAGAGCGAGCGAGAAAGACAGCACTACTCGAAGAGCCTCCAGCAGACTTACAGGCCTGTAACTGTGGGTGACAGTGGCTGTAGTGTCTTTTGTGGCCTTAGTGGCCTTTAGTCGTGGCCTTTAGCGGCTTCAGTGGCTTTACGAGAGGCGCAGGGCCCGGAAGCGGGCTCGGGATGATCGGGATGTGTGGGGCCTTCACCTGCAGGGCTGGCGACGATGTCGATCTGATGCAGCGGGAGCTGGACATGCGGGACTCTCAAAGCTTCGGCTTAGGGCTTCTCTCTAGGGAGAGCGGCATGACAGATTATGTTGAGCTGCTGAGCTCCCGTAGCCGGGCAGTGCCTGCATTTTCATGTCAAGATGTGCAGTTTCGCTATGCTTCACTTACGCAAGGCGTGATACAACATCCGAGTAGCAAATGGCCTAGGAGAATAGTGCCAGCAAGAAACATGCATGCCGCAGCGTACTCCAACTTGCGTTGTACCTGAAGAGTGCAGCTTTGCCAGTCATTTCTCTCCAACTTGCACCCCAGCGCTTGCGCGCTTTTCTGGCTAGAATCAACTGCTAAAGCGCTAAACGGGAAGCCAGCCCCATTTCTCAAAATTGTTGCGTTTGCAGTGTTGTCTTCCTCCTGCTTTCGTTCATTTCATGGCAAGCCAGCAGTTCTTCAGGTATGTGAGAGACTTCCGGCTCAATGTGGAAGTCCACATAAAGGCATCGCATGGTTTGGCAGCAGCTGGGTCCTGATAAGGATGTCGCAGTCTGCTGTGCAGGTTGTAGACGAAGTCGTCGAGGGCAGCATGTCCCCTCGGACAGCCGCCACGACTGCGTGGCTGGACAGTATGAGACTTCGTTTTTCGGTTTGAGCTTTTGTTTGGGTTCCGCTCAAGCCCGGTTTTGCACAGGCAGAAGTTTTTCGTGGACGATCCGCCCGACGATACTGTGCCCAGTGAGTCTCTCTGCAGAGTTGTGAAGTGGGTAAGGCTATTGTCGATCTCGTGAGCCTTGTTTGCGGAGGTCTGGAAAATTTCGTGTGGCGAGTTGGGACACAGAGATGGTAGAAGTGTTTCTGCTTGGCTTGGGTGACGCAGTTAGCCGAGGTATGATGAACTGGAAGCTGGAATGCGTGGACGTCTGAAGGCGCGGAGCGTTTTGAGGATTCTGGTCGGTCGTCGGCAAGGGCTTGTGCCCAATCCCACTGGCATCCCTGGACTCTTTACAACGCTAGAAACCTAGTACCAAGGCTTTCCAAGGAAGACCCATTGACCTTGTCCGCCAGTCTATCACTTCCAGGCAGAGCACCATGATCAACCTACGCGCGTCACCAGCGGGCAAAGCTTGTCGGACGGGCGAGTAGGGTTGGGTCTTCTGGATGTTTCGTGAGTTGAGGCGCCTTAGGTGAGGTCGGGCTTCAGTTTCGGTGAGCTCCAACCCAGAGAGCTGTGTTCTAGAGTCCTCCCCGAGGGGCGTGTTAGAACAATGATTGCTGGGTAGCTGGGTGCATTTTACATGCCCGGCCGGCAAGCTCGAAACTCTGCAGGACACCCTGAAAACGTGGCGTGGCCGCCAATTCCAGCGCGAGCGCTCTTTCGACAGCAAAGGTGCCCCACTTGCCTCGTAACATAGAAGAGCATTCCCTTTCCAAGCCTTTCTCTTTTGCTTGCAGGTGACTTTCGAAACAAGACCTGACCTGAACAGACTAAATAACAGACACCGCTCCACGGTCAGCTTCCGGCAAAGGCAGTGAGTGAGTGAACGAGCATGGAAGACAAAGCGAGCACCCTTCAACAACGAGATGGAACGAGTCAAGACAGCCAAGATAAAGGAAAGCGGGATTGAGTGAGTGACCGGACGTTGGAGGACACAGGACACAACATACAACGCACCCAGAGGCGTGCCCAGCGAGGCACTCGGAACAAAACACAGTTTGCAAGATGCACCCAGAGGTGGGAAGGGGGGGGGGGGTTGATCAGCAGGTTTTCATGCAAAACAGAGCAAGGCACCGCATCTTTCATCTTACAATGCTTGCAGTATGTCAGTGCTCCCATCTTTCCCGCTTTTTCGATTGCTGCAAATTGTGCTCTTTTCCTTGGTTGGGTGTTCCAGCTATCTTCACGTTCCTCTCAGCACGTTGCAGTGAGCGGCGGCTCCGGTGGTGAGAACAGCAAGAGCATGAACTCCTACACCTGGCGCCTTGGCGGAGGTTCAAGGTTCCCGTTCAGGTGCATATTTCTGCAGGATCTCTTTGCTCCCCTTTCGATGGTTCAGGTCTGGAAGGCACCGCAGGCAGTTCCCGGAGCGACTCAAGGAGTGGAACACCCCCCAGGCCGGGGGAAGAAAGCCTTGGCAGAGTGCCTTGTATAGATTAGACCCTGTCTTGCAGGACAATCTGGCCATGAACTCCATGACGGATCCGGGCCCCGGTCCGCCAGCCACCGGCCAGGCATTTGGGACTGAACTGTGCTGGTTGATGCTGGCAAGCTGTTGGACGAAGAGTTGTTTCGCAACAGTTACCGTGACCACCTCACTGCGCACACAGGTTCCTTCACGCTTCCACCCCCACTTGAAAGCAAACTGCAACCTAAGTGCAGGCAGGCATGATGCCGTCGATCGACCAGCTGATGCTCATCTGAGATTGATACTATGAGTTCTGATATTGTGATGTACTGACAGCAGCTCACGTAGAATCGACAGCTGAGGAACTTTGGTGATGAGAGGCAGATTTCCTCGGACAGGCCGGTGAATTGAACGGAAGTCTTCTTGTATTTCATGTTGGTTGGGTGCCGTTCAACAAACTAGTGGACCCTTTCAGACTGTTAGGCTTATATTATTATCGGGGCTCACGAAGATATTACATGAAGAGCCCCGTAAACGTTAACAATCATATAATTTCTAAAGGCAAAAGAATAGATTAGACTTGGCGGGCGAATTAAAAACCAAAATTACAACAGTAATGCCTGTCCGTGAGCCAAAAGTTAGACGAACTAAAGACCAACCTTGGGATTACATTATAACGAATCACAAAAGTAGAAAATGTAAATTAACGGAAACTGAAATTAGAAACTTAGTCAATCGCCTACATGGATGTGTGAGGCACATCACAGCGGCATCCAACCAAAACGGGGTGACGTCTGACATCTCCGGGGCGAACTTCCAGCGCCAAGTCAGTGGCAACGAAGGACGCGGACTCAGTTCCCCAGTGCGATGGCTGCGATGCCCCCAGCACCTTCACATAGCAATACAGTCCAGCTTCAAGTATAGATCCGTCAGAGAGTGTGCCTTGCCTGTGCCGGAGCATGGCCATATAGTACAGGGGGATCATATCTGCCCCCCCCCCCTCCCTCCCTTAAGATCTCTCAAATGCGCCCTCAAATGAATGCTGACTCGGAGACCTCTGGCATGCCCCTCAAAGGAAAGCGCACCCTCTTCTTGCACGACGTTCTTTGGCAGCTCTCATGAGCGCAGCAATGATTGCTGAGATTTGCACACAGGCCTAGCAGGCCCCTGAGCCTCTGCGACTTCCTAGGCACGGCAGCTGACCACCACGTCGCCGTGCTCGCCCGAGGAGCTGTCAGCCCCTTCGCTTGCAGTGAGCCACGGCATGGAGCACAATTTGGGATTCTGAAAAACGTGACGCTACCCCATGGATGCGTAGCCTGTCTTGGCCAGTGGCCATGGCCCTGCCATGGCCAAGCCATGCGAGCCTTGTTTTGGGGCTACCTCGGGCTTGAGGTGGTGTCGGTCTTGAACAAGGTCATCCTGGAGGACTGGAGCGTCGATGAGCGTCTGTCATCGCGCCGTCTCTGTCGGCGCTTGCAGCTTAGGAGTCCGAGGCGGCAGACTTGGTGTGCACCAACCTGCCAGACATGCGCCTCGAAAACAATTCGTATGCAAGAATGCCAATCAAGATAATCAAGGGGGGGCACTCATAAAATCTCCAAGTCTCTGAAACCGTCTCAAACCACACCCTATCTCGTCGCCACTTCCAAGGCCCCCATCTGACAGCGCCCTTGGCCGCTCGCAAGTGTTTGGCGGGACGTCGGATGAGTTCCGACAGGGATCTGACGGGGTCTGACGGAAGACTTTGACGGGAAGACTGCATGCTGAGTGCAGTCTTCTGCCTCAGGTTATTGCCAGCTGGTCGAGGCAGGACAGCCGAGCCTGAAGTCGCGGTGTGGATGAATTCCTTCATTGAAGTGATTCACACCATGGCCTTTCCATCCGTCGCCGTTGCGATGTTTTGAGGCAATGACTGCCAACATGAAGCGCGTCATCTTGGTGAGAGGCGGGAAGGAAGGATTGCCAGCCCTGAACATGAATGCGCGTGTGCCGCACGCGGCCATTTGCCCTTGCTTCCACAAGACACGGCTCTGCACGCAACATGTAGTCGGCCATGAGCATCAACAGTTTGGCAGGTACATCGAGTGAAGTGATCACAGCCTTCACTTGAATGCCCGCACGCTGCAGATCAAGGATGTTGCTGACTGGACGTGGTCCGGTGCGTAGCAGCTTGTCTTTGCTGCATGTTGCCGCAGTGCTGCAATAAAAAAATACATGGCATTGATCGCGTCATTTCGCAAGCCGGTGCTTGGCTTCGACATCAATCTGACCCACCGTCCTGTGCAAGATGAGATTGTTCAGGCATGCTGGGAAGTCTGGATTGAGGATTATGGGGTGCTTTAAGAAGGCAATTCGAAAGCTGGCTCAGTTGGCTAGAACAACCTCACTTCTTTTTGACGTGCTTGCGCTCTAAGTGCTGCAAGCAGCACGTGTTTCAGGCGGCGCTAATGTCAGGGCATGCTGGTGAGGGACCTGGTCAAACCTTTTTCCTCCACAGATGGAAGGAGGCCCTGCTGTGCAGCTGGAAACCTCTCCTGCATCTTTCGACCCTCAGTGCGGCTAATTCATCAAGCTGGGCAGTTTCGGTACGAAGCAGAGTAAGAAATGCAAGACGTCAGTGGCGCTTTGCGGAACACTCACTCAAGAGCTGGGTCGCCTTCACAACTGGGGCAAAAACACCTCGTCTCCGAAACCATTCAGCACTTCGAACGCGGGATACGGTGGGTCTAGGGGCATGCCTTGCGTGGATATCCTGTTGATCCTTGGAGCCTTATAGAGATCACCTTCAGGAGGGTCCTTCGGTTTCTCAAGGCTTCGGAACCAGTCGAAATCTATGCAAGCAGAACACAACTCGGTGACGTCGAGTGTCACGCAATGGCACATAGTATAGGGAGTATAGTGCATATGGTTCTGATAAATTCGGAAGCTGTGCAAGGCTGTGGTTAGTGCGAACGTGCGAAAGTGCGAAAGTGCCCAGGAAGTTGTAGGAACTTGTTCCACCTAGGGCTCAAAGTTGCCCAGGGTCGGCCCCAACGTGCCGTGTGCTCAGGTCACGTTCTGTGGCATTCGCGTCTAGAAAAAGCGCGAGGGATGTGACGATTGGAACGGTTTAATAACGATTTGATTTCTATTGTGTTTGTCATGGCTTCCTTCTCCTGCCTCCAGGACTCCTTGTCTTGCCCCGTCCGAGGTCTGCCAGCGTTCCAGCAAGCCTTGCGTCTTCTTGCGGGCTTCCGCGCCTGCGCACGCCTGCGCTGTCTCGGCGAGCATTGGCGCCGTGCTCTGTTCTCCTTGCGAACCAGAGAGCAGTGGCAGCAAGAGAAAAGACGCGTGTCTGCTGAAGTGCTGCTGGCGACAGTCTTCGCAACCTGGTAGCCTTCGAGATTTCGCCAAGCAAGGAACGCGTGAGTCACGCCCTCTAGCATACCATCGTGGACAGGCAGGCTGCATGCCAGTCCCACTGCTTGCTGAACATGGCCTGCCACCGGAGGAGCTTATGCAGAGGGCATTTTCGATTTGACTTAGAGACCCAAAAGCCTCCAGCTTGTCTGCAGAAGCTGCGTGCCTGCTGTGGAGGACTGGGCCTTCGTCCCTTTCGCTGTGCGCGCTTCCTTTGTGGCGCGACGGGGCATGTGAGGGTTCTTCTTACGATTGCTTCGTGATGACCGATTCTTGTTGATAACTGTTACATTCACACTCCAAGCCACACTACGCCCGCTGGGTTGAATGACGCAACGGGATCACAGGCTGCTTACAGGTCCACAGGTGCAAGTTTCTGCAGGAGGATACAGGCCTGTGACCGACAGCAAAGGCTAGAACAAGAGGAATCTGAAACTCCGACTTCGTGCATTCTTCTAAGCCCAGACGAAACTCAGGAGGATTTTGCCGAAGGCTTACGCTGCAAAGCCGTTGCGAGGATTATAGTAGCATTCTGACGCGAGGCCTGCTCAGATCGGAGGAGTTGCTCCTGTGAAGTGGTTCCAGGGCCGAAGCCGTGACTGTTCACAAGGGAAGGGCAAAGGGTCCAGGGAACCCTCACAAGGCCCAAGGAAAGCATCACCGAAACCCAGAAAAAACGTGAAGGATCTGGAAGGTTAGGGGGGGCTCTGGAGGGTCCCCAGTGGACCGCTGGAGGGTTTAGGGCATGCGGGGGCTTTCAGAACCTTTGACGCCCACAGCCGGGGGTGAGGCGAAGTTATCCGGAACATGCAAACCGATCGGCAGTTCATGCAAGCAAAGCGAGCGAAGCGAGAAGATCAGAATTTAAGCTCTCAGGGCTGAGCAATTCTGCCAGGTTGCCGTTCCAGGACTCATCGGACCCGCAAGCTTTTGCTCAGTATACGCTGCAAGCCGCTACAAAGCTACAGCCCAACCTGACTTGTCCTCACCGCCCTACATGTTACAACGCACCAAAACTCTGGCCAATTCTAAGCGGATCTTCACTTTGCTTAGAGATATTAGTGGATACGTATCCAAGAGCAGCGCCATGGAGCCAGCCGCGTCCCATCGGCTGCCTTTGACCCCTGCCGCCCTCTCCACGGGCCGGCAGCACCGGCCCAGGCCCGCACTAGCGAGAGCACGGCCGGTGCAGCCTGGGCTTTTGTCCCGCAAGGCGCGGCAAGTTCCTTCAGCCGACCCCGTTAAACGTTAGTATACCCTGATCCTGGAAGGCTCCTGATGTCTCTTCCTTCCAACCAGCGGTGTTGGCAGCTGCTGCGACAGTGGCGGTGCAGAAGGCGGCGATTGTCAGACGTCGGGAGTCGGGTACAGAGCTGATGAACGCTGGTGTGCAAAGGTTCGAAGGGTTGCTCAGTTTGCTTAATGTAAAGTGCACCAAGAGTAACATCTACTCTGGTATAAAGCAAGATGCTTGAGACCCTCAACTTCAGTTTGTTCGTGCAAAGCCAAAAGAGCTCCAAGCCTGGACGTGCACCCAGTCCCGGCGCCTTCGCGCAGTGGCTGTTCCACTGGAGGCTCCTTCGGACGGGAACTGCAGTCTCCTGGTCTTATAGCAGAGCCTAGCAGAGCCTAGCAGAGCCCAGCGCAGCTGATGGACAGTCTTCCAGGCCCCGCCAGCTCCTTCGGCTGCCAAAGGCAGGGCCACATTGAACGAGCTTGAAGGGAGTCCCGGTCATCTTTCACTCTATGATGCACCAGGTGCAGACGACGGTGCGGAAGACGGTGCGGACGACAGCCTGGCGTCGAAGGCCGATGACGGGGCTTTTATCGGAGGTGCATGCTCGAGGCATGCAGGTGTTTGCAGGCTTCAGGTGAGGAGCGTGAGAGGGGACTGCAGACTTGAGAACTCACTTTATCTAACCCATGGAGGTCAGGGGCGACTTCCCGGCGTTGAGCACTGAGGCCTACCCAGGAGTGCCATGGACGCATCAGAAGAAGCCGCTCCTTTTGTGGCGGCCGGATTTATTTAGATCCTCAGGCAGGGAAGTGCAGGGGGGGGGTTTCTCTCTGGGAGGGCTCAACCGCAAACCAAGCGGGCCGGGGAAGGGCGGGGAAGGGAGGGGTAGTTGCGGATTGGGCCTAACCTTATGGCTTTGTCGAAACACGCCCTCTTCATTTTTTCCTTTGCAGCTAACAGCACAGTCACAGCCAACCCAACCAAGCTATGATGTTACTGCACGGGCCTCTTTTTCTGGCTTCACAAGCAAGACCTTGAAACCTAGCAAAACACTCGGCAAGATGGTTGCAACATCTATCAACACAGGGAGCCGAGCTTTTCAAAGCTAGATTGCAGGAACAGAGTTTTTTTCTTGAGCTCGCGTTTGTATGAACATGCAGAGGACATGCAGGTTTTCTCACTAGCATGTAGAGAACACAGAGATTGTTTTTTCGAGATAAAGTGGTTCAGAGAAAATAGAGGCTTTTTGATTAACATGTATGTAGAGAGAACTTTGAGGTGTTCCTGTTGGATGAAAGGGCCCGCAAATATGAGAAAAGGGTGAACAACAACAGCAACAACACCATATCCACCTTTTTGCTCGGCCAGTCGCATGCACGTTTGCAGAACACGTGCAGAATACTTCCATCAATACGGCAGCTAGGCAGTGATATGCCGCGATGACTTTCTCTCCTTAGGGGGGCTTTGCTTGCAACCGGACATCTGAGGTGCCCCTGATTTACTTGGACTCTGGAGCCACGCTCCAAGTCAGTTTACACCCAAGCTCAGCACAGCAATGCTTGGAAATGCTTTGAAATGCATGAGCCTCAATGCGTGAAGGCGACGTCTCAGAAGCCCACCTGCGTCTTGAGGGCGCTGACCGATTACTACGCGCCTCGGACGTCAACGATCACAGCCCTGCAAGCTTTCTTCAAGCTGCACCGTGCTGGAGTACATTCTGAGTACATGTGGCTTTCTGGACCTTTGTGGTCTTTTGATGTCTTTTCATTTTGAGTCACTCGAGGCCAGCTGCCCCGTTTACCCTCTGAACTTGATTCCTCGGATTCTGGCACCTCGAAAGTGGCTTTCCAGGAGCACTCTGCCAATGTCCACCGGGGCGCCTATGCCTTGGCTGAGCGAGCCACAGAGGTGCCATGACTCATTGACTGCCACTGACGCTTTAGGAACTCCGGGGCTCTTCTCAAAGGCTTCTTGACGCGCGCTTCTGCAGACTCTTGCAGCTCACCGCTGCGCCGCAGGCCTTTGAGCATGCCCGCAGCTCCGTGGCCACCCTAATAGGGGCCGGTAGCTCGCAGGAGCCGCTTCTACCGCAAAGGACATCTTTAGTAGTAGATTTAGGCACATTTTGGCATCTTTTGGGCATGGTTTCGCACATTTTCGCACGGTTTGGCCTTCTCCACTAAGGATCATCTTCACTAGCGGTGCCACAGATGCCATCAACCTGGTGGCCGAAAGCTGGGGCAGCCCGAACCTGGGCCCTGGTGACGAGGTGCTGATCACAGCCCCCTGGCAGCCAACGACTAATGGGTCAAATGACCGGACTGCGAAGTTCTGGGCAGTTTTCTGAGGCTTATCCTACTGGTGTTTCACATTCGCGATCTTTCACACACACACAATCGAGGCAAGTTTCTGTAACCCTCAACTTTCAACCCTGCACCCTGAACCGCAAAGCCTACACCCCTACTTTGCTGCTCTGAAGCTTCCATCCTCGACCCTATGTTTGTGAGCTTTCGGCCCTCCCCCCCCTCCCGACATGTTCTGGGGTAGTTTGACAAAAGAGCGCGCGTATGGTGAACGCCAGACTCAAATCGCTAGCACTAATCATCCGGATGTTCCCGCAAGCTCCTATGTGCATTTGCTTTTTGAGGTGATGGAGCATCACTCCAACATTGTGCCATGGCAGTGGCTTGGATGCCTTGTTGTTGGGTGTGAGGTTGGCTCGCATTGGATATTGGAAGCCGAGACTTGTGCCAAGAATTGTGCCACCATTGGACTTTTGGCCCTCCGCTTTATCACCGGGTAGAAGCGGTTGCATCGCCTCTACGGCTTTGCACCCTTTGGGAGGCCCACTCTTCCTCCCTTCATGGCCACCACCCTTGGCGTCATGAGCACGTGTTGATGCCGAGTTTGATGGGCAGGACACATCCTCCCTTCATCCACGATCGATACGGTACGCCAGTATGGAATGCATGTCAAAAGTAGCCGGCCAGTTCATGGATTTAACGCTTCATCCTGCTTTTCAACAAAACGCTTCAATCACACTTCGACTTGCTATAATCAAGTCAAAACATACACTTCGCACTAGCTACAATTTAGCTATAAACACACTACACAACACCAACACACACTAGAACGCACTGCGAAGATAACACAGTCCAGGTGGATTTGTTCCGCTGCATATAAAGTTGGAGTTTATGATTTCTTCTTCAATCAGGCCTACATCAGGCTCACGACTGGTTCAACAACATCAACACACCTTACTAAGACATCAAGATTGGGCTTGGACTTGGGCTGGACTCGGGGCAGGCACTGTATAAAGCACTAGGATTGAGCAGGACTAGGGCTGTTACATGTGATCTGGATTGGGATTGAGGCTGGACTGGGATGGGGGTTGGTATTAGGCTGAGATGAGCCTACAACAAGCCACTTTATGTGTCACGCTCTGAACATTTAAAAACAGCTCGAACCTCCGTGTCTCATCCTGCCATCTGCTGTCGGTATGTTTTCAGTGAATTGCCATCCTCCGCGTCTTTGGGCAGATTGCCCGCGTTTGCTTCTGCTTCGAAGTTGGAGTTACTGAGGCTTGCAACGCAGAGGACAGGAGCAACCCTGAAGCACGTTGGAGTTACGGAGGAGGCCGGATGAAGCTGGATCAAGCTGGGTGAAGATGGATCAAGGGCGCACGAAGGGTACATCAGGCTTTGGGGGGTGGCTGCAGAGGGTCCACTGCCAGGGAGTTCTTGACATGGAAGAGTTCCACCGTCTGCTGAGCCCACGCACAAAGCGACTTGGCTGGTGTGAGATATTCAGAAAGTTCAGAAAATCTCTCTGAAACCGGAGGCTTGCTTTGCTGACCTTGATGGGAACTGTCATTCGCAGTTCCATTTCACAGGATGGTAGCCTTCGTCCATATCTCAAACACGCTGGGCTGCATTAATCCAGACGCTTCGCTGCACTTGGGCGTGTGGTTTCATTGGGCTTGCCGATGCCACTGGCAAGATCCGCCCTTTTTGTCAAAAGGTGCGAGTTGTGTGCAAGACAGGTAAAAGAGATCGCGGAGGCAGCGCATGCTGTGGGCGCAAAGGCAGCGTGTGTGAGGGTTCCTACAGGGGTTGCAGTGGGTAGTAGCGACGGTTTGGAAAGACAGCTGCAGGTACTCCTGGATGCTTGCCAATCCGTTCCGCACCTAAAAATCGAGGCTTGGCAGAGATGAAGTTTGCTGAGTGATGCAGTATCAGGACTCCAGTTTGGAAACGAGTACAAACCGGCACTTGCCGCAAGTTTCCGGGTCGATAATCGGCTTCCGAAAAGTGCTTGAGGCAGTTCAGTTCACTTAGCGGGGCTGGCATCTGCTCTTGTGGTCATCTTGTCGGCATTCCACTTTTTCCCGTCTTTGCGTTCCATTCGCGACCTCGACTTGACAAGGATGTACAAGATCTTGGCATCGATTTCCTGGTTGCCTCCAGATTCTTGTCTGCAAGCACGGACGCCTAACCAGGCTCTTCAATGCTTTCCAGATTTCTGCAGTGGGTCCCATGAAGCACCGAGCCGAGTCATAGAGTCCTGGAGGCCACAAGATGTACGGCCCAACCGGCGTCGGATTCTTGTGGGGCCGGCCAGAGATTCTGGAGGCCAAGTTGCAGTCTCCGCAGGTGTTTGCAGATGTTTGCAACGTCGCGGAGTGCAACGTGTAGTTTTTGAACATTTGCATGATGGATCATGGCGCCTGTTTCATGTGCTGCGAAGTGATCCAGGCCATGCCACCTTGGAAGGGCGGCGGGGAGATGATCAAGGAGGTTCACATGGACCGTGGGGGAGAAACTCTCAGATATTCATTCCATGGGCAAGGTCCGCAGATATGCAATTGCCGTTAGGCTTCCTCCAGAGGAGGTTCTGTGCAGAGCTTGCGTGCCAGGACGAGTCCTACTATGCAGACGTGCCAGCGCGCTTTGAGGCAGAAAGCTGATGAGAACAGACCCACGGCAGATGAAAGAGCAGCTGCATGAAAACTGGCAGACGTTCGAATCTTTCATGAGGGTTTGGAGCGGTGTTGAGTTCTTGCTAGGCCGGGACACCTCCCATTGCCCAGGCCGTTGGGCTGGGCAGGAGCCTCGAAATTTGGGAAAAAGTGTTTTTTTTGTGGCTCCACGTGATTCCAGGTGTTCTCTTCGGGTGTTCTCTTCGGGTGTTCTCTTCGGGTGTTCTCTTCGGGTGTTCCACTGCGGCTTTCAGGTGTTGCCTGCGACTACCTCCTTGAGCTGGGCATGGACCAAGTGGAGGCTCCTTCACTGCAACGTGCGGGCGCCTTGGTCAACGTCAATTCTTCCGACGCGAGGCCCACGAGCAGAGCTTGGCAAAGTACTTGTGGGAGGCCGGGCAGGAACGAGAGGAAAGAGTCCCAGAAAAGCGTGGTTGAGTTGCGTCGATGGTCCTCCTGCCGTTCTCGAATCTCCCGGGGAGCTCAAGATGTCACGTGTGTGTGTATGTATGTATGTCTGTATGTCTGTATGTCTGTATGTCTGTATGTCTGTATGTCTGTGTGTGTATGTGTGTGTGTGTGTGTTCCCTCTGTGCTCTTCATCTTAGTGTTTATGTGTGTTTTTTTGTCTCTGTCTCTCTCTCTCTCTCTCTTTTGCTCTCCCTCTCTCGCTCGCTCTCTCCCTCTGTCTCTTGCTTTCTCTCTCTCTCTCTCTCTGAGGTGTATATGTAACATGTATATACATATATGTGTGTATGAGCATATCTCTCTCTCTCTCTCACAGTCGCTCGCCGCCATCCCGGGCCTGCGGCTCTACGGGCCCCCTGACGCTCGGCCTCAGCGCACAGCAGGATTGCAAGCCCTTTTCGACTTGAGCTCTCAACAAGCGAAGTCGAATGACACCAAGGCTTCTGCTGGACCACGGGCTGCCCTGGTGGCCTTCAACGACACGCCGCTTCGCTTCACCAGGGACCCAACAGTCTAGTGAGATCTAGCGAGGCAGCCCCTGCCTCATATGCCGCACTGAGGGAGCCAGACGTTTACCCCCAGGAGTCGGTTGAAGAAGGGCGGGACGCGGCGGGACGCGGGCGGACGCGGAGGGACGCGGAGGGACGCGAGCGGGACTTGGGCACGGGGCTGTGTCTTTTGCCCTCGCCATTTCAAGCGGTGAAGGATCTCGCCGGTGTCCTGGACGGCGATGGAGTGGCCATCCGCGCGGGGCACCACTGCGCGCAGCCGCTTCACAGGCCTGCGTTTTCCATGCTTCACGCGTTTCTCCGTGTTTTCTCAATCATGCAGCGTAGGCTGAGCTTCCTCGCTTTACCCCTCGCGTCTTCGCCTCAGGGCTCTGGAAGCCACCTACGGATCCGCCAGGGTGAGCTGCGCCTTCTACAACACGAAGGAAGAGATTGACAAGTTGCATGGCTGCAGTGGTCGCAATTTACACGAGATAGGCCAAGAATATCCAGTTCTCAGAATCTCCCACAGCCCACATCGATCTCTACCCGAGGTTCGTTCAGTCCTTGACAGATGCGCTCGAGATTGTCAGGCAGGTGAGAGGGACCCTCGTACCTCCCCTCACCGTCTCCCTTCTTCCTTTTCATCTCTTTCTTCCGCCACCTTCATTTACCTTCTACTACCTAATGCGAAAGTGCTTCTGACGACAGGGCGGGCGAGGCCTGCGTCTTTGACCCGGACGACCCCGAATCGTGTAACTGCTCTAGCGGGAGGACCGGTGCAGAATTCAACAACTCAGTTTCCGCACTCAAGTCATGCTTGACTCACCGACGGTAGGCAACCGTATGCACTTCTGGGCACATGCACGACTCGATTCAGTCTGAAGGATGCGATCCTGACTCCCTCAGCATTTTCTGCACAGAGACTGGTCATCGTTGCTGTTCGGCATGCAAATCCTGGGTGAGTACTTGTGGATAGTCACTTGCAGTGTAACAGTGTAAGATAGTGTAAGGAATGTGAACAGACCTTCAGTTTGACTTGCCACGGTACCTATGCCATCATGTCAAACCCACGACCATCTGGGCATTCTGGGCACTGTGCCGGACATCGGAAGTTGCAGTTCCAGCGACCAGTCAATGAGCTGGCTTGTTTCTCAAGTTCTTAGAATGTGGATGCCATGTAGACCTTGCGTATCCTTGCGTGTAGTTCAGCATAGCTGGAGCCAGCGATCTATTTCAGCACATCCGAGCAAAGCCACCCCAAGTTTGGGGCAAGGCATCCACGATGCAGAGCCGCCTTCTCAACTCTTTAAACCCGATCTGGGTGGTCGACAGGCACGACGTTTGATGCAACGGCACTTTTCGAGGGCCCCGAAGGCGCATCTTATCGATGCTGACGCTGCTCAGAGTCGCTCAGAGACTGGCTGGCCTTGGCTGATGGCCGACATCTCCGAAACCCGTTGTTGTTTGATTTTCTGTACTGTTGGGAAGGATCGGTTCGCAGGAAGCTTTGTTTTTGCTTGATGCTCTCAAGTTTTGAGGGGAGGGACCCTGTTCAATATGGATTCCAGCCAGGGTCAGTAGGTGTAGGCACTGTGCACGTGTCAGCCTAGGGTTTGAGGGCTTTAAAGTTTAGGGCTTCAGTTGCTTGGGGGCGTAGGGTTCTGGGATGTTCTGGGGGTGTCGGGGATGAGGCGTCTTGGGGTTTTGGCGCCAGCGTTTCGGGTTTGGGTCCATGAGCCTCGGCTTGGGCCTCAAGTTAGGTAAATACATGCAACTGCCATCAAGGCTCCTGATAGATTGGTTCGGTCATCTGGTCATCAGCAATGCTGTCACCTGCACAGCTACTAAACCAATCGCACCTGACGATGTTTCATGCAAAATGCCATTCCGACTGGCGAGCTTGTCAGGGTAGTGCGGAAGGAAAAGTGGCGATGTGGCAGATGTGGCAGATGTGGCAGATGTGGCAGATGTGGCATACCCTTGCTTTGCATCTGTGGTTCACCCTTTTAGCCCCTTTTTGTTGGAATGCGTGTTGCACTTGTTTGCACCTGAGGGCTGCCGTAGACCATGTAACCCTAAGCCGAAACCGAAACATCTCTTCATCGACAGCGCACAGCCGCGCCGAACTCTTGCAGGCCCACGCGCAGCCACGACGGCCTCGCGAGGCGCCTCGTGAGGTGTGGCACATCGCACTGACGGATGCTTCTGTTGTGCTCCTGTTTGTGTGCTTCTGAAGATCAGGTCCCGGCTCCTCAAGCCGAGACGAGATCCAAGGCAACTGCATTGTCAGTTGCAGCCGTAGGATCTGTAGGCTGCATCGCCTGGCGCTTTCTTGACACCGGGACTAACCTCCCTGCTTCTTGAAGAACTTTATGACCAACCGGAATCGCCTCCTTTGCAGGCTTATTCCGATCCTCCGCCGGCCAGAGCAGGAAACCTGGCACTCACGTGGAATCAGTAGGAAACAGATTTCCAGGCAATCTGCGTGTCTTCGGGAGTCGTTGGAGCCCTTGGAGATTTTGCCGAAAGTTTGCCGAATGAGATGCACTGGAGCCAGAGCCAGGACTGAACGAGGGCCCATCCACCCACGAGCTCCGAAGTGTGGGACTTACACTGCCACTGCCAGCTTCACAGCTTCACGTATCGCATGGCTGTTGAACAGTGTTGGGCATCTTCAGCCCCTGAAGGGCCATGTCTTTTTGACATGCCCTCGAAATGAACTGTCCTTTGCCTTGTGGTCGTAAGACTAAGGCTTGCCAGGCACAGACTCTACACATTTTGTTCTGAGCTGGCTATAATTACTGCGGCTGAATATCTCTGCTGTCCCCCATTGCTGCTTGCGCTCTGCACCATGGTGGGACTTCACGCGGGAACGAGCGTTTTTTCCAATCCCCAGATGCAAGTTGAATGCACGTCCAATCCATGCGCCCTAAGCCCCTGAGCGTCCCTAAACCAGCAGCATGATCTCCACCCTGATCTGCGTAGCCGCAGCGTGCGGGATTCCTGGATGCACGAGGTCCGGAGCACGTGGCAGTGCTAGCTTTGCCGGCGCCAGGCGGTGGCTGTGGCTGTGGCTGTGGCTGTGGCTCTGGCTGTGGCTGTGATCAGAAGTCCCCTGCGTTGGTTTGAAGGTTTGAACCGCGGAGTGTGCATGCGCCAGGCTCGAAACAGGAGCCAGAAGGTGAGGAGCTTTCGGAGCTTCGCAAACAGTTGCGTTTCGCAAATCCCCGGTTTTTTTGGCGAGTTCCTAGGCGCCCAGCTGACCCTGCCTTCGTCAACTCCAGGCGTGGGTTTGTGGTACAGGCAAATAAGACGCAGTGACCAGAAGTGCTACCTTCTCCGTGACATGCAGGTCTCTTTGCACTGAAGGTGAAGGAGGCGCGGCTCTTTTTGCAGAGTCCCTGCCTTGGCCAGGTAGCCATCGCTCATGCATAGCTGGCATAGCTGCCTAATAGCTGCTGATTGCTGCTTCTGAGCCCGAACTACTCTTGAATACAAAGCTCCCATCTTTACAGCTCTATTCAGCGCCAAACCAGAGCAACCAAAATCACCAATCTGGGCAGCTTCCGATAGCTACGCCCTCCATTTGGTTCAGCCAAATCCGATCGCAGTCACGCAAATCAGGGTCAGGATGGAGGATTCATGCCTTCAAACTCTGACCTCTGAGACGAGGAGCTGGACAAAGAGCCGTCAGCTCCATCTTTCGCGCTGGCAGGACCAGGCACTCTGTACTTGACTAATCTATGACTTTTGCCAAGCTCGAAAAAAGTGGAGAGTGGCCCTGAAAGGCGAAGATCGCCAGAGTCCGACGCCAGGAAACCGAGGGAAAGTCATACCTGCAAAGCCACAGCCCCAGGCTGGCCGTGCGCAGAGCCTTCCGTGTGAAGGTCTAAACTGTTCCATGGAGCTCCTCAGGTATGGGTCCCCTCTCCTAGCACCACCCGTGGCGTTGGGGCCGCGGATGCCTGTGCCGGCACTTGAGCCGGAGTTCCGGAAAGCGGGCCCATCACCACGCCCGGCCTTAGCAGGCCCAGCTCCAGGCGTGATGCCTGTGATGCCTTTGATGCCCTCCTCTTTGCCCTCCTCTTTGCCCTCCTCTCCCCCGGGCTTCGCCAAGCAGCACGCCGTCCCAGCTATCCCAGGCCTGCGGCGAGCGTGGGTTGGGTCGCGGGATCGGCAGTGACAGCGGATGAAAGCGATAGCGGCTAGCGTCCCAACATGCCCCGTGTCAGGACCCATCGGACCCATCGGACCCGTCCGCCCGGAGCTTTCACAGCCACGGTCTCAGCTTCAAAGTAACGATGTCCTTGTACCCTCAACAGCATTCAGCAACCCCAAGGCCCTTGCCCCATGCAATGCTGTTTTGTGGGCTCAGCTACTGCTTCCCTAGAAGGGATTTCGAGGCTGCTTGAGCCATGGCTTCATCGGCTTGCGACTTTGACGGCTGTAGCTCCTTTCGGCTGCTGGAGAGAGTCAGAGGGCGTGGGGGGTGGGGGGGGGGGGGGGGGGGGGGGGGGGGGGGGGGGGGGGGGGGGGGGGGGGGGTGTATGAGGTACGGGAGTTGGGGTCAAGGCCAGGGCATGGGGTTCCCTTTCGGCCTGTGTGGCTGTGCCTCTTCCATTGCATTTTGGCCTGTTCGGCCTCGCTGTCCACTGAGGAGTAAGTTATGGTGCATTCCTGTTTTGAAGAACTTGCCTCTGGGGTGCGATTCCACTCACTCACCCTCCGATTCAGTGCAGCCTCTGAGGCCGATGGTGGTGAAGTCAGGCATCGGAATCAGCAACGCCGAAAGACCAACCGTGAAGAGCAGAGGCGAGCATAAGACAAGATGCCCGCTCGATTCCAGGGCTGCCGATGGAGCCAAAGCTTGAGAGCTTGGAGCCCGCGTGGTCCGAGCCTTTGTCAGTTGGATTGACCGGTGTGCGGGGTTGAAGTCATTTAAGCAGAAGCTTGAGCATCTCAGGCAGCCTTCCTTCGGAGTGGCTGAGCTGGTGCCAGGTGGGAGCGAGTTCAATGTTACAAACAGAGAAGTGCGGTCGTTTGATCTGCAAATTGCTTCCGGCGGTCTGACTTCCTGATGGCCTTCTCTGGCCCACTGAAGACTAGATGCTGTTGAGGGGCGCTCTGCTCCAAAGATGCGCATCTTTGACCTGCATGTGTTACGAACTAGGCCCTGGCTCCCAAGTTTCTTCCTGCAAGCCCCACAAAAAGGGGTCACCCGCTTTCGTCCGGGGCCCCTCTCAAGTGCTTCCAGATTTAAAATGTCTAGGTGGGCTCGTCAAGACGCAGTCGGACGAGCTTTGGGACTCTCAAGTGCAACTTGGCATGACGTCGACATGCATTTGCACGATAGGGAATTGGGCCTGAGGTTTCGTGACTCAGCTCTTACTCCGTAGCTCAGATGCTTCTCAGGAATCCTCTACGAGGAGGCCCTGCTGTTGCTTGTTGTACACGGTGAATGCTTCTTGCTTCATGTTGGTTCTCAGAGGCGACGTGGTGAAGAGGCTCGATAGCATCTGATCGTGCCAGGTTGATAGTGTTTGAGATCGCGAGAACATTCATGAAGAAAGTGAGAGATCGCCTAGCCTCCGCCTCCCTTTCAGGCCGCCGCCATCAGAGGACTTTGCGTCTTCCTTTGCTTGTTGTTTTTTGAGACCGCGTGCAGCTCGCTTGCCGCATTGAGTTGCAAACACGAGTTCCAGAGGAGACGAGCCACCGTCCGAAGGTGATTCGACCGCGCCTGTGGTAGCTCCCGGAGGAGAAAAGTGGAGGAAAGTGGAACCCCCAGAAGGATGGGCCTTTGGTAGAAGAGGCCGAATCGACGCCGAGAGCACACGGGCCTTGGAATTCTTGAGGCGGCAGAAAGCCTCTCGTGGCTCTTGAAGCTGAGGGTTTTCTTTGGCCATGGCAAATACAACTTATGCAGACAGCAACAGCACGACAAAGCCCAGTGGTGGAGCTATCAGCTGGTTCATGGCTGTAGCTGTTAACCCCAACTGGTGCCGCTCATTCAGTCATGTATCATTTTGTCTTCGCGTCGCCCTTAGTAGGTGTGGTGACATGACACCCCTGAATCCACAGACCGTCTCGAGCAAGTAGCTCACAGCAGTCACCGGGTAGTCGCTGCTCTCCAGCCGGCAATGACTGAAAGCTGCAACACTCTGGACGCTTAGGCGCCAATTGCTGAGACTTCTGCTGGGGTCTCCTTGGTGTTTGTCTGATTGCCTCTGCAGGAGATGGATGTGAAGCTCATGCTCAGGGCGCATGGTTCTTAAGGCTTTGAGGGGCGCTCTCTGTGTTTCTGCATGGTCCCTGTGAAGGCCCCCTCGGCCCTCTGCTTTCGCCTCTAGAGGTTGAAGCTGGGCGAGCAGGGAAGGCGAGCCACCTCCTCGGAGCACACTTGGGAAGACTTGGGAAGACTTGGGAAGACTTGGGAAGCCAGCTGAAGAGTCAAAAAAGCCTAGCTGAGATCACGGCTCCGAATCCTTGGGTGGGCGCCATCGTCGTCGGCGCTGATGGAACGGTGTTGGGCGAGGGCTTCCACAAGTTGCACCGGCAAGAGATTAAAAAGCTCGTAGTGCTTCTCCCATCTTGACGATGCATTGTGCAAGTATGTGCAGGTAAAGGCAAGTATACGCAAGGAGATATACAACATTATACAACCATTCAGACCTTCCCCTCGTCGATTCAAGTTGCCAGGGGCCCCGGCTGCCCCCACGCGGAGGTGGAAGCTTTTCGGGATGCTGAAGCCGCTTGTCAGATGACTGATTCAGGATTCTGCAAGTGACTTTTTAAGGGCTTTTGGGCAATGAGAACGCTGTGAAGTGTGAACGCTTCCGTACAGAAATGCTTGATGGGGAATGGCTGGCCACGCCGTTCACTTCACCTGAAGGCTCTTGAAGCCAACTGGGTTGGGAAGTCAGGTGACAGAAATCAAGCATCGTTGATCTTTTTTTGTGGTCGTTTCTAGCACTGTATTTGTTGGCAAGTCTGGAACGATCAAAAAGGAACAACCGATTTTGAGTTGCCAGAGGTTTTTTGTTCGAAGTTAAGCAAGCTGGCCGTGTGACTATCTGCTTGCATAAGCGTGTACTTGAGACTTGAGAAGTGCATGTCGACACATGACAATAGGCACAATCAATGCTTCTATAACTTCTATATCTCTGTTTAAGCAAACTACAATAAGCCATGAGTAGCTGTAAAGATGGCAATGCCAATGCATGAGCTGCTCCCCTCCGCGCGAACGAGTACCATGGTGGCGATCGTGCGGGGCAGCATCATCGGAAACAGCCCCCACACCGTTCGGAAGGGCATTCGGCACCCCTTTTCAAAAAAAATGTCTAGCCGGCACTGAGTACGATTACGTTTTCTTATGCAGGGAGAAACGGACGTCCAATGATGCCAGCGATGCCGCGACAATGACATAAAAGCTGGGTCGGGCCATGGCGAGAGGCCCGAGAGCCGACCCACGCCTCAACGGGCGGTGTTGATGTTGTGCCAAATATCCAGTGTTAGGGCTGTGAGGACGGGGATCCAGAAGCTTCAGCTTTTCTGACTTTAAGGCCAAAGGTGTCACGGACTTCTCCGGGGCCACGATATTCAGCACGCTGGAGCCCTGCCATCGCGGGCCGGGCAAGTGGGAGCCTCAGGTTTTGTGGGTGGACAATTGTGCTTTCAGTCTTTAGTTCTCAATATAGCACGTTACATGCCTGAATCACGGTAGGATCCTTGAACATCTCACACCTGCCAGGCGCACGCCGCCCTGCGACGAACTCGTGGTCTCGAAGAAGGTGAAGAGATGCGCACAGAGCTGAGCCACAATTGAGTGCCAAATTCAAGTTCGTTCGCCTTCGACAAATTGCAAAAGCCTGCCCACAAGGTCATTGGCCACGTCGATCCTGACGAGCGCTTTGGTGGCGCCGGCGTGCAGTTTATTCGAGACGCTGGAATCCAGGCAAGTTTTCAATTTTCCGAGGTTACCCCTTGCATATAGCATTCTCTCTTGCGCAGCCGGCTTTTTGTGAGCGGCAGGTGGATGTGGGCATTGCGGAGGACTTTTAGCGCCGAACTTTAACCTGAAAAACTGCTTCCAAGCATCTCTTGGACACAAACCGAATGGTGAGAATCTCAGATCCAGGGAGAAGATGGAGGAACCATCAGACTCGGCGCTTTAGAGGACCCTATTCGCCGATCCTTCCGGAGTTACCTTCACCACCGCCGGACGGGCAGGCTGGCGCAGCTCCAACTGTTGCCAAGCTGCTCGAGTCTTTACTGATCGTCAAAATTGCAACGTCGAGGCAAATTATCCATTTCGTCTGCTTCTGTGCAACACTTGAATTGTTGTCGCGTCACAATTGAGGAACCGTCTTGTCATATTGAGTTGCGAAATGGTGTATTTCTCAACTTCCCTTTTTGCCAAGATGTCATAGCTGGAGAGGGATGTCCTCTATGGGGCTCCTTTAAGGCAATGCCGTTTGCAACGATCATGATGTAGATACATATGTATATATATATATGTTACATGTATCTTCTGCCACACCAAATCAACCTTCGAAGGAGATCCTTCCAGTTGATCAAAGGCAGCGTTGCAGCATGACGCTGCCAGGCCTTATGTCGTTCTCAAGATTGCGACCAGCTTGGATGGCCGAGTCGTCGGGGCCCGGTCTCGTCATGAGTCGTTCTTCCGGCTCTTTGACTGGGTTGAAGCTTCCTGAGGCTTGCCAGGACAAGACGTCCCAGTGGATCACCCAGGCAGGATGTGAGTCGGGCGGGCACGTTTGTCAAAAGACACATTCCACGTTTCTTTTGCGGGAAACTTTGCTTTGACACTCTTCTTGTGGTTCTTGTTTGCTACTGTATTAGTATCATTATGATGATTGTTATTACTCTTATTGCTCCTATTCTTGTTCTTGTCTTGATTCTAGTTCTTCTTGGTTGTGGCTGCTTTGGCGATGCGCTTTCTGGTCTTTCTGTTTTACCTCCTTTCAGCGTTTTGTTGTTTGCATCGGTTACTGACAATCATGAGAGGAAGTGCACAGACGGCACGGCTCGCTGTCCATATTTTCTGGGCTCCTCACCAGCCCGGGCAACCTCACGAAACGAGCATTCTCAGATCATGTCGGATCAGTCAGCCTGGGTAACAAAGAAGAAGTGGATCTTTGGATGCCTTTTGGCAAAGTGCAAAGAAGCATCTCCTAAGCGTCAGGGTCGGCAAGTTATCCAGAGGTTGCTCCATTTGCTTCTTCGTTTCTGCCATGTCCAATGAATGAAAATCCGTCCAAACCTGCCAAACGGTTCCGAACAAGATGTTTTGAGAGCTCCATCGCCAAACAGACAACTTATTGTACGATGGTTCTTGGTCATAAGGCCACGTGGTGCAGAGTCCATGGGGCCCTGGGATGTGTGAGGAACCCGGTGTTCGAGGCCCCTGCGAGACAGGATGCGCACCGGCTCCGTGCTGAATCACAAGCAGTGCTTGTGGGTCGGGCGCCCAGCTCCGACAGAAGCGAGACGAGTTTCGCGAAAAAACCCGTCTTCTGAGACCGGGCGACTGCTCTGTGATTGTTTTGAACAGGTAGTGGCACTGCCTTGGCTGATAGGCCTTGCTCGCAGAATCGCCATGCATTCAGTACGATGCAGATGCACCGCTTTCATGTCTCTCCTGCTGCTCATTCCGTCTCTGCCCTTCTCTCCAACTCTCCCCGTCCTGGCCAAACAAAACATGAGATTCTTACGACGGCAATGACGACAGTTCTGACGCTCACCAACTGCGGTCCGGCATGTGCACACGACGCGGCAGATTTTCTTGGAGTTTCCGGAGGCCAAGCCTCACCGTTCGTTTGGAGGGTGAGCCGGCCCCTGCAAAGCCGCCGATGCGCCCGAGGCCCAGATGTACAGGAGCAGTCAGGTGGGTCTTCCACACCAGCCTCGAGAACCCTACGTAACGAAACCCCGAATCCCTGAACCCATCCTGGAAAAGATGGAGGATGTGGAAAGTTTCCCAAAACCTTTACCAGAGGCAGAAGGCGTGAAGGGCCCTATAGGGCCCTCCAGCTACCCAGCTCTGGCCGGGAGGCGAACGGTTTTTGTGTGAAATGCGAGCAGAATACACACTTCTCCTCATCTGAGGAGAAGCGCTTTGAAGGAGACTCGGGAAAACCTGGGAAGCCTTGGAAGAGATGCTTTAGCTTCAGTCCACAGACAGCCCCCCCCGCCCCCGCCGCTTTTGCAGGAAGGGACTGGGGGCAAGAGCCTGGGGCACCATCGAACACACACGGAGAAGCACTTTTCGGCTGGTATCCCGACCGGCCACAAGAAGTCTTCATCCGGAAAACTCGCGCCAGCTGCTTCGCTGCCCAGGTGTGGTCCTGGACTCCCGTGGCCAAGTGACCGAGGGCCCGTTGATGGACACGGCCACTGCGCCGACGCTCATCTTCACGAGCACAGGGCCCAACAAAGAAGGGCAAAGCCGGCAAAGCCGGCAAAGCTGGAAAGCTTGGAAGTTCAGCGATCCGAAGGGCAAGCTTGTTTCTCGAGACCCATGAGGCCGCGAGCGCTGCAGCGAGCTCGCCAAGAAGAGGCCACCCTTAGTGCCACCTTAAGAGCGCCGCCCTTCTGAGCGCAAACCTTGGCAAAGTTGTTCTCAGCAAGCTCCGCCCCTGGAAGCCACGTGAGCTTGTGATGCACTGTTGCCATTCGTGCTCGGCAAGCGTTTCTTGGACGCATGGTACCATCATCACAATGACAAGTATCCTGAGGTTCGAGAGATCACCAAGGATTTTGCAGCAGACATGGGCCCTGTTGCATCCTTTGGGTCCTTTCCCTAAACCCACGAAGAAAGCCATGACGTACCTGGGCAGCTTGGCCGTGTGCGGCGCGAGCTTGGCTGTCCTCCTGCCCCTCATCACGAAGCTCTCGGCCCCTCTCCCTCCTCGTAGATCACGCCAGCTGGGCGATCCAACGTACGACCTGGAGGAGCTCGATGCGCCAGCAGCAACCGGCACCAAGCTTCGAATCATTTCTTGGCTCCTTGCTGACAGTCCTGTAGGGCCCCTGTTGCGGCGTTTCCTCATCAATCAGAATGGTGCCTGAGTTGCGTTCGTGGTTTCGGATATGCCTCTGCACGCTGGTAGTTTTTTTTTTGGTCCTGGTGTTGCAGCTCTTATGTGCTCAGTCCTACTCTCAACTTGTCGTCTGTAGATTGCAAGGGTTGCGGATACCTTTTCTGCATATTGATATCTGGTTTGTATATAAAACTAAACTGAGGTGCCGACGAGTTGCAAGACCTGGCCTTGCAGGTCGTGGACGAGGGGAAGAGCCCCGTCATGTACCAGCCGATGCATCGTCTGTCGGCCGCGGAGTTTCAACGGCACGAAGCGGCAGCGCAAGGTCCGGGAAGCGTGCAGCAGTTCTTGCAGCAGGGCTTTGACTCCGTGGAGTCGGGAGTCTCCGGTGTTTATGTCACCGTGGAGGACTATGCCAAAGCCTACAGGAGCGGAGCCTGGACCCCGACTGCAGCCATGGAGCGGCTGCTGCAAGCCATCCGGAATCTGCCCAGTCACTACCGGGTCTTTGTCACGGTGCTCGAAGAGGAGGTCCGGCGCCAGGCGCGGGAGTCCGAGCAGCGACTTGCGGAAGGCAAGCCGCGGAGCATCTTCGAGGGAGTGCCGGTCGCTGTCAAGGACATGGTCTCCGTCCGGGGCCATATCTTCAGTGAAGGAACTGTGTGGCCAAGTGGAGACCGACACAACAAAAAGGCAGAGCAGGATGACAACACCGTGCGGCTCTTTCGTGAAGCTGGTGCCATTCTTGTGGGGACTACGGTAATGACCGAGTTCGGAGTTACACCCTTAGGCTATTCGGTGCACTTCCAGGCACCTGTAAATGCATACAACGCGAGTCACTACTGTGGGGGCAGCTCCTCGGGTTCTGCAGTGGCTGTGGCAATGGGGCTAGTGCCTGTGGCAATTGGTATGGACGGCGGCGGTTCAATCCGGATTCCTGCTGCCATGGAAGGCACCATCGGCTTGGCTCCCACGTTTGGCCGTGTGCCCGACTCAAGCCCTGACACGGTCTTTGGCACCATGGTCAAGACGGGCCCCCTTGCTGCAACCGCCCGTGATGCTGCCCTTGCACACGCCATCATGTCTCAAAGCGTCCCGGACCATCCCTTGGCCCAGCTCTACGGCGCTGCTGGCGTTCCCCCTGTGCATCTCGAGGGCTTCCAGGATTTAGACCTGAAAGGCATTCGCCTTGGAGTCTTCTGGGATCACTTCAATGATGCCGATGCTCAGGTTGTCTCTACTTGCAAAGCGGCTCTGGAAAAGCTGAAGTCTCTGGGGGCCGAGGTGGTTTCCGTGTCTTTGCCCCACCTCAAAGCTCTCTCCTTGGCTCATGGTCTGGACATTTCTGTTGAGTTCTCGAGCTTCTTCGGCAATCTGCTTTACAACAAGCATAACCTCGAGCCCGGGACTCGGATCCAGCTGGGCCTTGGCTACACCATCTCTGGAGTGGAGTTCAACTCGGCGAACCTCTTGAGAGGTTGGGCAATGAAGTACATCACCGAAGAGATCTTCACCAAGCTGAAGGTTCAGGCGATCGTGTCCCCGAGCATTGGGATCCTGCCGCCAAAGATGCCAGAGGACGCCTCCGCGGGTGAGAGCAACACGGCGCTGATCGTGCAGACGCTTGGCATAGCATTAGCAGCCGTCGCCATAATATGTGCCCTTGTTTATTCTTTGAGAAAAAACCAGGAGTTAGGCCCCATCTAGTCTGAGTATGTCTGAGTCTGAGGATGATGAAGTACATCTTCCTCGGAAATCTCCTGGGGCTTCCGGGCATCAGTGTGCCGGTGGGCTATGATGCCTCGACCAAGCTCCCCATTGGCATGCACCTGCGCCTTGGCAGGGAACATCAGAGAACAGGGTGCTTGAGAGTGGTGAATGCCGCAGAAGCCCCTCAAGGGCCCAAAAGGGCCCAAGAAACACATGACAGTAGCAGAATGGGTGGAGTGTGGGGAAATAGCTACAATTGAGGCTTTAAGTGCCAAAGCTCTGAAGCTACACAAGGATGGGAGCTCACTGGGAAGAAGCGGTGCTCCTGAGACTTGCAAACGCCCTAGAGACACAGTACCTGCAGCGAAAGAAGCCAGACGCTTTTTTCGACTTGCGTGCAGAGCTCTAGGGACTCTAGGGCCTCTAGGGCCTAGGGACCCTAGGGACTCCGGAGTGTTGAACGCTCCATGCTCGTCTGATGTGTTTTAATCCCACCGGCGGCAAGTCTCAATGCTGGGCTGGGTGACTTGCACCCAATAAGGCCCTTTGTTTCGATGCAGCTGCCCATCGATTTCAAAGGACCCTTTGAAAAACAAGGATGACAGGGTGCCTCAAGGGGCGGGGAGGTACCAGAGATCGTTCAGCCCCTTGATGCTTTCTAGCTTGGCTTTGGGTTCGACCGCAGTTATCTTATGCAGGCATCGTTAGAGAATGTGCATGTTTGGTTGGTTCACTTTCCTTTTGCTTGCCTGGAGTACCTTAAGCTTCTTCACCCTGGTTAAGCCAGACGCATTGCTTCAGGGCCTTCAGAGATAGACGTCACTAGGTGGTCCAGGGCGTCTCTTCCACCGAACATGAGAAGAACTCAACGTTGCGCTGGACAGGTGGCAGGAGTGCGGTGTTGAAGTTCATGAAGTTCCATTGGCCTCCGCCTTTCGATGTCGCGCTGTCGCTGGCACCCAAGCCTGTTTTTCGAGTGCTTCGCTGAGGTTGGAGAGCACCTCGACCTCGATGCAGTGCTGGCAGCTCTGGGCGCCCGGGGTGCACGGGGCTCGGAACAGCTCTCGCCAAAGCATCTGAGGAAGTTTCAGCTGCGGGCTGTTGGAGCTGAACAGTGAGAGCTGAACAGTGAGACTAATCTAGCGAAATGCAAGGTGCTCCAGCTGATGGTTGAGGGTGGCGCTGTTCTGCAGGGTCAGCTGCTCCACCTCAACCTGGTGCAGGCACCGCGAGAGTTCTTTTGAGATGCGAGAAACGGCAAGAAGGGCTTGCAGTTGGCCTTCACTTGCCAGTGTAGGAGCTCCGTGTTTACTTTGGCGCCACCTTGCAAGCACCTTAGTGCCCCGAATTGCAGGTTTCACGTTGTTCTCGCAAAGGGCCTCCACCTTTTAGATGAAGCCTTCTTCGGTGAAATGGCCCATGAACCTTCCCCTCCCTTCCCTTCTCCCCTTCCCTCTCTTCCTCTCCTCCGTTCTGGATGGTGCTTTTTTTGGCTCGACTCGAGGCTCGGCTCAAGCGCGCAAGCCTGGGCACAGACTCCGTTGACCTCCACCATCAAGGAGGCAATCCCCCAAAGCACTTCTTTTTTGCAGCTCCTTTTTTTGTGTTCGACTTGTCGTGCTTCGGGTTTTGGCACGACACCAACTCTGACCCTCCGGCGCTCAGGCACGTTTCTGGACATTGCGGGACCTCCGCCGAGTTGGCAAGGGGCCCAGAAACAGCCGGCGGCAAATTGACGCAGGTCTGATAAACTCTCACAAGCATGTGCAAGGTAATGACGTTTGCCTGGAGTACGAGCGGACTGAAGCCTCGGATGCTTGACAGGTTGACATATCTCTCAAGGCAAAACGAAGGAAAGCCGAGTGACTTTAGACAGTTGAAGAATTGCCACTGGTCCAAGCTGGATCTTGAGAAGGAGCACTGATTCTTGACAGTTCTGCCGCTCAAGCTTACAAGTCAGCAGGAGTCGACAACGTACAAACTGGCATCTCTATGGCCTAGACCACCGCAGACCTCAGCACTCGAGTAGAAGCACATTTGTGCCAAACCCATGGCAAATATTGTGTGGAAGTTGCTCAGAAACCATGGGCTGTCATGGCGCAGTACCTGCCACACCTCCAAGGTCCCAATGTGTCCGGTACCGTAAAGCCACCTTTAGCGGAGCGTTCTTTTTGCACAGCTCAGTTAACCTAGTTGCCCAACGTCTCCCGGTTGTAGTTGGCAGGTATACGATTTCTGTGTGCCACCTGGGTGCTATGTGGCCGCTTTCTTCCTGATGTGCACGCCGGCTTCTGGCTGGCCTTGGACTCAAGAAGCTCCTCCGGCACTCCGTTTTTGAGATCCCACTGGCCACTGACTAACTGACCCCCTGCTTAGTTTGGCAAGCGCCGCCTCAACGCGGCTGTTGACATCTTCGCCGTGCTCAGCGGCTTCGTCTCCCTGTACAGGGGGAGTGAGGCCGGGAGAGCCAACGGGAGGGCCACAGCGGGAGAGCCACAACGGGAGAGCCGGCAGAGGAGAGACATAAACTTAAGTGAGCCGGACAAAGTGAATGAGAAGCCCGACACTGGAGAGCGGACCCCGAGGAATATAGAATGGTTCCTTGGCCAGGAATGGCCACGGCAAGAGTGGCCACGGCTCGGTCGCCGGATGCTGCGGGTTTTCCCGGCGTTTTGGCTGTCGATGCTCTGGAGCTGCCTGGGCCAGATTGAGCAGCATAGCGTAGACAAGTAAATAAATGACCTGATGGGATTCGCTCGGAATGTGAGCTCATGCTGGCACCTTCAGAACAAGACCACTCAAAACCAATGTTGAACGTGAAGCATAATTGTCCTGGTGTTTTCCCACGCTCGTGATGCTGCAGGAGCCTCCTACTGCAACCGTGCCCTTCCGGCAAGGCTGTGCACTGTGCACTGCTGGCGGAGGTTTGGGGCGAGGAGAGCCTGTTTGCAGTTTGTGCCGTTGTGAGATGAGCTGGATCCATGCGACTGGATGCCTGCACGTATCTGTCTGTTGTACTTCTAAGTGGTGCGCGCAGAATCACGCAGATCTTGCCAGTGCCTCCGTTCTTTCTTACTTTCCGGTGACTCTGTGTCCACGTGCCACGTGTCTTCTTTTTGTTTCAAACGACTCGTGGGGGAGACCATGGGAGTTCTCCGACATCTGCAGGAGGCAGTTCGGTGCCCTCTGGGTGCTGCTTGGACTCTCACCGCGCAGGGGCCTCAGGTCGAAATCTCTTCGAAGTATCATCATGGTGCTGTATGATGATCCACCTCGGGCCGAGAGTAGTTTTTGTTTGCCTTCTTCCTTTGCGACACAAGTTGCACGCGCGTGCCCACTCCTGCGGAGCTGTGGCCAGCTACGTGAAGCTGCAAGTCGCCATGAACTTCAGGCTGGTACCGTGCTGGACGATCTTCCCTTTGCTGTCATAGCCTTGATGAACTTTCAGCTAAGAAGCAGATCAGCTTCCTTCCTTCTCCTTTGAAAAGGTCCAGCGCGTTTCGTCACTACTCTAGCCCTGGCTTTGCAGTTACCGCCGAAAGCTTAGAACACCTGCTCTCCAGACTGCTTTCCGAGCTTGGGCGAAAGCCCGATAGCCCGTTCTGTCCAGATTCGTGCCCGCACGTGAACTTCATCCAAGGCTGCAGGTCTCTGGCTGGCTGTTTCCCTGCTCAGCCGCCAGTTTCTTCACAACTGTTTGGACCTTACATTGTGCCTCGTTCCTTCGACCTCCTAGCTTCATGCGTTGAGTCTACGTGGATCATTCTGCAAGTGTTGTGGCCATTCTTGCCGAATTTCTGCTTTTGAGCATTGGTCATTGTTTCATGATGGCGAGTACTGCTACCTTTCTTGCAATTGCTATTACCTCGACTTTGCATCGCGAAAACAATCGGCATCTTGCTCTTATCTGTCAGTATTGTTATCACTCTTGCTCTGTTTACATTCCTTCCCAGGAGTACTGAGTACTGCAATTGCAACGATTTGCTACTGTTCATGGCTCGTTATTATGCTTGTTACTGGTCCTATTACTCTTACTACTTATCTTCCGATCATGACTTTCTTCTGCTCCACTAGTTTCACGTTTAGTAGGCATGTTTTTTTTTTGCTACGGTTGTGATAGTCAATGTTATGTTTGCTATCTCCATCATTATCAGTATCATTATCTTTATCATGTTCATTCTCATCATAAGACATCATCATCATCCATTTTCTTTGCAGGTCTTTTCGATTAGTATTTCTCCTCCTCCTCCTCCTCCTCCTACTCCTACTCCTACTCCTACTCCTACTCCTACTCCAACTCCAACCCCAACTCCAACTCCTGATGATGCTGCTGCTGCTACTGCTGCTGCTACTGCTACTCATGCTGATTTGGACTGTCATTCTGCTTACTTTTGTACGAATGAATATATTTGTCTATTCTTCTTTCGCTGATCGGGATGCGAGGCTTCCTGCCCCTGGCAGCACTGCCGGACTTCTGCCTTGGGGCTGTGGCTGCGCGATACGTGGAGGTGTTTGCTCCTCCCCTCCTCTACTTTCCTTCAATGTTGAAAGTTGAGGATTTGAAGGTTTACGGCTTCGGGGTTAGGCGTCCAGGATGTTTTCGGCTCTGTGGTTTGGGTTTTCGGGCCTGTCTTGTGTGCACCAGCAGCATCCAGCGATCAGAAACTTCAGACATCGAAAAGCCTTTGCAGGAGGCGCCTGAGGATGCCTTGGGGGAGAAGGCCGCAGGGAAGCAGCGCATGGAAGATGCACCTCTTTGCACTCAGCCCCCTTCGCACATCTTCGCACATCTTCGCACATCTTCGCACATCTTCGCACATCTTCGCACATCTTCACACACTTTTTTCCCATTCACAACAGTCATCGATGTGAAGCAGAAGCGACATGTGACCGATTTGCCGCCTCCGCAGCACCGATGGGTTCAGTCACTGGGCGCCCCTGTCCCAAATTCTCACGGTTTGCATGTCTTGCCAACAAATGGCTGCTTCAAGCTTGCAATCGAAGAGCAGTATCTGAACAGCATTTTAGCAAGGAGGACATGAATTAAGAATGGTTGGAACTGACGAGGAAGGGCAGAACTAGTGATCCATAGCCTCAAGTGCCTCAAGTGTCTGGGACCTGCTGTGCTGTGATTGCGACCCGCCATTTGCGACCGTGCAAAGTTTTTCACGACCCGCATCGCCATCGGAAAGCTTCCATTGTTTTTGGTGGCTGCTCCGTGAGCCCGATGTCAGCTTCTGATCCATACGACGTCCGGGGCTTAACCGCTGAAACCACTGAGACGTTGTCACCGCATATCCGTTCTCTGCCAGCTCTCCCTTCTCGCCGCATCTGTGGTGGGTGCGAGGCGACGTTTCGCAGGCCCGAGCCAAGGCCTGAGCCAAGGCCACGCTGTGGTTTGCTCTGCGAACCCCAAGCCAGGTCCTGGTCAAAATTTGAAACCAGCGACGACTCTTAATGTTCAGACTGGTTGTCGTTGAATGGCCAATTTGCGGAAGGGGGCCCTTTTGCCCCCTTTGCCTGTGCCTGACCTGAATTGTATGTGACGTGTGCTTGGCAGGCAGGAACGCGTGCGGAGCTTAGTCAGGTCGACTCGGCGAAGGGGACTGTCGAGTGGACTGTCGAATGGACTGAAGACTGTCGATCCAAGGCCGCCTCTGTGCTGCTGGACCTTGTGTCTGCTGAACCCCCAGATCGCCAGGCCATGATGGTGCCATGGTGTGTGAGGCCTTTGTGGCCTTTTTCAAGCCTTTAAGCTCTCGAAAGGTACTTCCTCCACCGCCACCTCCCTCGCATCAATTCAGTGGCGGCATGACCGTCCCTTCTGTGGGATCAGCGGCGCACGAATTGAGGTGCAGTGCAGCTGCGGGTGCCTTTACAGACATCATGCCTGGAAGCGTGCGAAGGCGCTGCAAGCCCTGTGCCTTCTTCTGGAAGTGTGATGGCTGCCAAAGCGGACAGGCGCTTGCAATATCGTAGAGTCAGATAGAGTCGAAGAGCACGCGCAGAACCTCAAGGAAGTCAGGGAACAGCCAAAGGCTGAAGAACGAGGGAGCGTGTCAGGAACATCAAAGGGCCTTAAGGCTTTAGGGTGTCAGGGTGAGGCAGAGCTCTTGGTTCAGAAGATGATAGATCATGATAGATTTTGATCGAGAAGAAGATGCCTTAGAAGCTTCGACAGGCGTGCTTGTTTTGTCACCTTTGTCCGCCCGATGAGAAGAAGCGCCGCAAGAAGGCCAGGAAGGGGTGAAGGGTGCACGAGGGGGGAGTGGCTTCGTACGTGAGCCTGGTTGATGTACCAATTCTGCGACAGCTCTAGACTCTAGTTGTCGACGTGTCCTCATGTTTCCATGAAGAGAAACTCAAACGCCGAGACAGCCAGTAGCCCTTTGTGAATGCCTGCCAGCCCTGCAAGGAGCGCCGCTTTGTGGCCTCGATGGGTACGACTCGGCACTATGAGGCCCAGGCTAGGCACTGCGTTCTTGTAAACCCGATTCCGCATGAATTATGGAACCAGGGCGAGAGGGCGATTTGGCACTCAAAAAGTGCGTAAGATCTGTGCGAAATGTGAGCATCATGGAGCTATTGACTTGGTTCTTCAAAGCTGTGACGAAATCTGCCCTAGGCCGGAAACATGACAAGCAATGAACAGCATGGTCTCGGTGCTCCATCGTCTCCATGTTGAATTATACTTGGAATTATGCAAGCGGCATCCCGACTATCGTGAGGCCCCAGCCCGTCCGCAACGTTCGGTACGGAAGGTGCCCGAAGCAGCGCCAATGAAAATTCAGGCGCCGATTGGGGCTTTCGTCACATTCTGAGCACGCAGATGTTGCTGTTTGTGGTTTAGTCTCGAGATTGCTGCACCCTCACGCAGGTCGATCATGCGAATCGTGCCGCGTACATGCCCGAAGATCCGATTTTGCTGCCCGAGGAGCTGCTGTGTATCCAGGGCCTGTCAAAGATGTTGATGTTCGAGCTTTGGTCTGTGCGAAGGAGACCTATCTTCTGCATGACGAGGCCACTGCCGTCGAAGATGAACAGCATTCATGTACACAGTGCATCATAGAATGAAGGACAGAAGCAACCAGCATGCGTGTTCAAATCATCCTGCCTTCATGCACGCTGTCTTGAAGCCTCTTCCTCATTTTCTGTTGCTGGGAAGGTTCCGACGTCTCACTACCCAGAGTACCAGGAGTGTCAGCTACCAGGCATCGTGGCGTGCGTGCCCTGGGCAAGTGATGCTGCCTGTGGCCATTTGTTAGCCACGTGTGGCCACTTGTTAGCCACCTGTGGCCACCTGCCACCCGTAGCCTGAGGCCAGAATTACGTGACGTGGAGGCGCAGATCATTCAAAGAGCCCTGCTGGAGCAGGAGGCCTCCAAACGAAGCTGAGCCTGGGGAGGGGGGGCGGCTTGGAGGAAGTTGAGCTGGATATCACGCTTTGCAGGTGGCAGATGTGGAAGCCGAATGGGGCTATCGACGCCTCAGCTGCATTTGGAAAGCAGGCTGCAAGAACATTCTGCAAATATATTTAGCCGCGCAAGCCGAAGTAAACCAAGACGTTTAAAGGGACTCCCGAACGGAGAGCCGGAGAGCCGAGGTCCCAATGGTCGCGTGCGCCTTGAACTCGACAAGGTGCTATCACTCTTTGCTTGTTAGGCTCTGGGTTCATTGCCCCTTCTGTTGTTCTTCGGGGCTGTTAAGGGTTGGGAGCCTTGCCGTGAATCTCCTGGTTCATAAAAGGGAAGGCTTGTTTCACATGTCTCAAGTGCGCAACACAAACAGAGCCAACAGCAATTCGTCAACCAGTTGCATGTCTGGACTGGATGCCACGATGTAGCCAGTCAATCGATGTCGGAGCGAGGACAGACTACATCAAAACACACACACACACACACACACACACACACACGGAAGTTGAAGACGCAAACATCGTTTGCTTCGAGCCTCCCTTAGGGATCTGGATGGGCCACTCCGGGGATATTCCGCGAGGGACTCTGGAGTTGGGCACTCCCGGGACTCTGGGCTGGACCCTTTGGGAGCATTCTCCGGAAATTTTCTTGAAGATTCTCTTTAAGGTGAACCCTCCCGAAATACTCAGCAGGATTCTTTGGAGGATTCTGGGGGAGAGACGAGACCTGGGCCAGGAGAAGATCTGGTCAACAACTAGCAGCCCCACACGCAAGGGAGAATGACAGAAAGGGAGAGAGAGAGAGAGAGAGAGATAGAGAGAGAGAGAAAGAGAGAGAGAGAGAGAGAGACCTGCACACCGACTTCAATAAAATTTCGGGTCGGGTTCAGGCTTGGGTTTAGGTGTCTCTGGGGTCTTCCCCCAGCATTTTCTGAGTTCCCCTAGCATGGAGGTCTGTGCACTCCTGTGCAGGTACTCCCGACGCAAAGCTATTCGGGAGCCTCTCGCCTGGTACCAGAAGCCAAGCATGTACACAGCTCTTTTTCACCGAGGGATGCATGCCGCCATTCAATGAGTCTTTCGCCGAGCAGTGCGAGTCTAGTTGCTGTACAGAGTGGCCAAGTGCTCACTGTCGGCCAGAGTGAGTCTGGTCTGCTGGCATGAGTCAGCGTACGACCGCCGACGAGAGCTCGCACGCCTGTTGCCGCACGCCTATTGCCTGCTGATGTGGGATCTAGAGTGAGGCCTACTCCGACATGGATGATGACCTCGATCTGAATGCCCTGACCGCCTCGCCAAGCGCTGGCCCTTTCGACGAAGATCAAGGCACCTGACAGTGCTCAAACGCAACGGGGTTGCGTAACGCACGCTAAACTATCAACCCCGGCTGCTGCCGCTTTTGCCTGCTCTGCTCTTGGTTCTGTAAAGGAGCAGTCTCTTGAGTTTGTGATACAGTGAGCAGTAGTTGGATCAGTCGTAGCTACTCGTAGCAACTACTCGCAGCTTTGCTGAACTTTCTCTGGGGTACATGGTGGGGCACGGTGCAGATTCTTGGATGCCTCGCCCTTGCACGCTCCTGGGAGATACGGACCTGGGTGCAGAGCTTCCGACTCTTTTGGCGCCGAGCGACACGCTGCCGAGAAGCCCATCTGCAGACAGCTCTCTACAAACAGTAGTGATCGTTAGTGTGAACAAGAGCCTCTTCGGAAGCTCACGGTTCATCGCGAGCATTTGCCTTGCGACTTGTTTTGTGTCAGCGTGAGGCGACGGCGTCGGAAGCGATGAGGACAAAAACAACCAAGACAGCTTCTTCTCCTTTGACCCTCTGTCGTCCCTTCGAAATGCAGGTCTCTGAGGCTGGCCACAGCAGCCTAAAGCAGCCTGTTTTCAGCCTAACACAGCCTGAAGCCTGAAAGGTTGCAAGTTGGAAGAGCGAAATATCGGAGATGCCACTTCTGCCAAGATTTCGTGAAGCAAACCATGTTCTTACTTTATTCACTCTTGTATGTCCTTGGCCAAAGTGTGACAGCTCCGTCTAACCATCATGGTGCCCCAGCTGTTGGCTGAGAAGCCGCGTCAAACGCACTTTTTTTTTCGCTTCACGCGGCAATGGCCTCTCAACTCAATGAGAGCATCGTGATGACTGGGCACTAGTTCGTCCACACCGATCTTACCTCGATTGCCCCGGCCCCAAAGACGGCAAGTCTGGGCTTGAAAGTGCGCATTTGTTCAAAGAAACAGATCTTCGGTACAGTTTCAGGAGCTTCGCAGCTTCGCAGCACCTGCTTTTGTAGGTACACCAGTCGGTTAGATTTTTGTAATGCCTGTATGGTGAGTTTGGAGCAGCTGCAAGCTTTGCAAGACCCGTGATGTGGCTTTGTGACCGACTTAAGTCAGAATGAGTGTAGTCAGACTCCTCGGAACCGAAACACGTCACGCCTTTTCAACAGGGCTCTGTGAACCATGCCGGAGCAGGCCCCGCAGAGTGCGCCAAACCTTTGCAGTTCTGACCTGCATACACCTGGGGCTTTGCAATGGTTTCCAGCACCCTGTTGCTCGTCGGCTGTCAAAGGAGGCCGCTAGCAAGTCGCCATGTGCGATTGCATCGCTGATTTTAAAGATCATGTAGGTCCCACCCCCTGACACATCCCAACCCACGCAGCTTGTGCTCAGATGCTCCCCAAGCCCTAAGCTTAAAGACTAATCCCGAGACCCGGCCCGTTTAGCCTGCTACTGCACGTAGTCGATGTTTTCCGAAAGCCAGATGTAAGGCCAGAGGATTCGAGATCTGACAGCTTTTTTTTCAGAAAAGGCTCTGGGGTCTCTGGTATAGTAGCTCGTAGCAGCTGGAAGAGTCATCAGAGTCATCGGCTCTCGGAAACGAAATCTTCAATACCAGCCGTATTGCGAAGCCATGCCAAAGATGCACAGGGCTGCCAAGTTGTGAATCGAGTGGGTTTGGCCAAAGTGTGGCCGCCACTTTGAGCTGGAAGCATCCTCAAGTCATAGGGATCGGTCCGACAGCCAAAGAGTCAAGGAGTGTCAGACGTCCTCATCTTCGTGTGTCCTTTTGTTCGTGTCTTTGCAAGTGTGTCAGCGTTCCAGCAATTTGTGGGCCAAGATGCTCCGCCAGAGAGCAGCCTCCCCACTTCATCCTCCTGCAAAGTCGTGCACAGGAGCCTCACTTCAAGCGCTGGTGAAAATAGACACTCTGACTGGTATTGTTGGGAGGGCGTTTTCCTTTTTTTTTTTTGGTTTATTTTTTTGTCTTCGGGCCCTCTGGCCCTTTGATCCTCGGGTCCTTTGGTCTCTCTGGTCCTCTGGTCCCCTGCTCTCTCTGGTCCTCTGGCCCTCTGGTTCTCTGGGGGTCCCGTGGTTTGCCGGTCCCGTGGAAACAATTAGTTCATATACATATATATATAATATACATATATATATATACACATTTTCTTTGAAAAGCTAGCTTTTCCGACCATATGTATTTAGACATATAGATAGCCGATTCCATATACAGGATCCTGATTAAACATACAGTGGTAGGAGGTTTTTCTTTGGGAAAAGCCAGCACGACGTCGTACCAAAAAAAACAGGATTCCTATGAAACGTAGGAATCTTATGAGAATATACCGTATTCTACTAAAATCTAATGGTCATAGATATTTCTTAGGTGAAACCAAGCAATCAAAGCCAAACTTGAATAACCAATTCAGCAAAATCAATTAAACCAAGGAAGCAAAGCCAACACCACGAAGAATTCAGACCAAATTAGTCCGAGATCCTACGAAAAGTAGTATGAATCCTATGAACACACCGACCAAGCAAAAGGTAAGAAAAAACACTCCACCCATTTATTGTTGTGCACATGTTCTTCATGACTGATGTGCAGCTGTCATCCGCCTTCTGCTGAAGAGAATGCTGCACGGCTACATGGCACAGAGATGTCGAGGTGGACGCCAGGCCGGACTGCGCTGGCTTCGCGCCCAGCAGCTTTCGAGACTGGCCCCACAACGCTCTGCATCCTATTGACTGTCCTTGGCCACGGGGGTGTGACCGTTTGTGGTTTCTTTTCTCTCACAGAGATGGTTTCCTTGAGGCCGCGTGCCCTGGGGGCCTTTGGCCGACGGCTGTGCCGTCGAAACCTCAGGGACTCGTGTCGCACGTGTCGCACGTGTCGCACGTGTTGCACGTGTCGCACGTGTCGGCCGGCGGTCCAAGCATGTCCGTAGCGGTCTTGGATGGCGCGCTGGGGGTGCTTGGAGAGTTTATGTCCTTGAGGCCGCCATCGCCGGCCTCGTCACCTTCACCCCTGGAAGTTCTAGGCGACAATAATTCCAAAACTATCGGAAATAGAAAGTCAAGGGATGATCTGACAGCAGCGTGCACAGCTCTGAAAGGAAAACCTGGGATGAAGCCGAACTCTTCCAGGAGGTCCGGCTTTGCCCTGTTTGCGCTAGAGGGAGCCGAGCAGGTATTGTGGGGAGACACGTTCAGTCCAGCCGCGTTTCTTCGCAAGTCGTGTGATGCGCTTGAAGAATTTCCAGAGGACTCGGGCTTTGACCACTTCTTGGCGCCTCTGATTGCCAGTTTTCTACTGTGCTCCGCGCAAGGCACAGTCCTGTCAATGCAGGGATGGCATGCAGGTTTTAACAGGGACTTGTGCAGGTGACAGAGGGGAGCAGTCCTTTGTTGTCGCAGGCGGTGGAAAGGGTGCCGTGCAGACAGTGCTGAGGCACCAGTCCATGGCGGGGACCTCGGTCCAGTGATGCTCGGGCCATATGTTGTGCAAGAGATGCCATTGCCGTCCCCAATCAGGCAAGTCTGGGTCACTACAGCCTGTACGTGTATCTCTTCCAGGAACCACTCTTCAGGCTCCAACGGTAGAGACTTCCTATACTTGAAAGAGCAACCAGAGAGCCTTACGTTTGTTCGTTCGTCTCACCCGACAAGTGGGGTTGTTCTGAGCGGTTCCGTCTCGATCCATGGTCCCAGTGGCCGCCCTTCATTCTTGTCTAGCTTTCCTGGCCATTGAAAGAATACATCTTTTTGGTAGATTCAATGGTGTTATTAAAGCTTAGAGCAGAAATACCACATTTTCTTGGGACAAGACTTAAAACACCTGGAAACGAAGCCTCGAACCAACTCAATTTTTTCCGCACATGCAACCTGGATTTTGGAGTCTATGGGGGAGGGATAGATCCCATATTTCGGATTTTTCGCAGCCCAGTTTCAATAAAACTTCCCAAGCGCTGGGTCATGAAAGCTTGAACATCTTGCATCTACGATGTGCGCATAGATCTGCAAATTCATTGTTTTCTTTGTGAAAGTTTGTCGTAGCTTGCTGCTCTGAGAACGTTTAAAACATCCAAGCTGCTTTTGTGGGGATTACGGGGCCACAGATGCTCAAATCCAGTTTTTGGGGTGTATTGATTCGAGCCGGCTCGAGATTTCGTGGCTTGGTGCCTTTGGGATTCCTGGAACAATACACGTAGACATAGAGACATAGAGACATAGAGACATAGAGACATAGAGACATAGAGACATAGAGACATAGAGACGTAGAGACGCAGAGACGTAGAGACGTAGAGACGTAGAGGACGTAGGGACGTAGAGACGTAGAAACGTAGTGACGTAGAGACGTAGAGACGTAGAGACGTAGAGACGTAGAGACGTAGAGACGTAGAGACGTAGAGACGTAGAGACGTAGAGACGTAGAGACGTAGAGACGTAGAGACGTAGAGACATAGAGACATAGAGACATAGAGACATAGAGACATAGAGACATAGAGACATAGAGACATAGAGACATAGAGACATAGAGACATAGAGACATAGAGACATAGAGACATAGAGACATAGAGACATAGAGACATAGAGACATAGTCAGCTGGGTCCTGCCCGGGTGCCGGGAACCCGTCTCTCAGCCCTTTGTGTCCGAGCACGGCAAATGTGTGCATGGCAGGTCAATTGAGGCCTTTGTTCCCAACCTGCGTGACTCTGCCGAAGGGTTTGCAGCAAACTCAGCACGTGGACTCCACCTACAGGACAATGACCTGGTGAAACCATGTGCAGAACGATTGGCACATTGCGACATGTTTAAGGTGTTCTTCGTGCTGTGCGTTTGGCTTCTTGCTGGGCTTTACGCAGAGAATGCTGGCTTCTGAGCTTTGGGGCAAGGCGGCTGTGCCTGAATTCTAGCTTGACCAGAACTTCTCCAGACCTTTCTCCAAACCGCTGTCCAGAAGCGCGCTCAGGTTGAGCCACTTCTTCTAAAGCGCTCAGGCTGCATCAGACATTTGAAATCAGAAAAGGCCGACACGGCCGAAACGGGCGTACTCGACCCAAGAGTCCGTTGCCTTGAGCTCCGAAGAAGAAATGGCCATAGTCTAAAAAAACAGATATCTTTCAACAACTCAATTTTCGCCTTGCTTCCAAGGCTGTCAGCCGGCGCAGCGTCTTGTGACACCGTCGAAAGCGCATCCTGAGGGCAGCCCAGAATGCCTAAAGGTCTTAGAGGTCCGAGAGGTCCTAGAGGCTAAAGAGCTTCAGCTCCGAGGGGGTGCAGAGTGTCCGGCATGGCCAAGACGGTCGTGCTGGATCATTCTCCCGTTACTTCCACAGCTACCCGAAAAAGGAGTGGGCAAAGTCTCAGCAGCTGACAAATTGATGGTCTTTGATGGTCTCGAATCCCGCTGTCACGATCGCGGACACACAGCGTACTCCTGCTATGATAACAACCCAGGGGTCCACACAAGATGTTGTGGAAGTTTGGAAGCTCTGGGGAATAGGCGGTGCGTTGAACATGGGCTTTCATCTTGTTTCTGGTGGCCCCATGGATGACATGCCAAGTGAGCGGTCAGACCTTGGCCTGGTCTTGCGTCTGTCGGCTTGGGGTGCTTGGGGGTGGTTGGGGGTGGTTGCGAACTCCGCTGTCGGCCGCTGGACGCTGCTCTCGATGCGTCATCTCCCGTGCCTCCTCGAGTCGCACACAATTTCAAAGCGGCCCCTTTGCCACTTGTGTCAGCACTCTCGAGCTCCCCGAACCCCGCCGCGTGTCGAGCTCTTTCAACGTCATGCGAGGCGCCTCCACTTGCCGAAGCCCGCTCAAGTGCAGGCTGGAAGCAGGGTTGGTCAGCTCGGCCCGAACCAGCATGCTGCCTGGAACGCGGTCAGTCCTCGGTGCACTGCAGCATGAGGGCAACAAATGGACAAAGAGCCACGACCAAGATCGACAAACCCAAGAGAGGGTACCATCCTTGCTTTGGCAGCAGCCAGACAAGGCGGGCCGGCGACACGACAGGTTGCCCACGGAAAACAGCGTGGTCTCAACTGCAGGAATGGCATGTGGCCCGGCCTGTGACCGCAGGCGGTACTTGGCAGTATTTTCGTAATCGCACACCAAGGGGGTCGAGCCCGTGGCTCCACAGCCGGCGGACAGAGCCTCCCTCCCTCCCAGCAGCGGCTTGCTGGAGCGAGAGGCTGTCCTTGTGAGAGCGCGAAGTTGTGTGGTGGCGCTGCGCAGCAGCCACTGTGTCCGGGGCTCTGGCCGGGAAGCTTATAAGAGCCTCGGTTGGGCCTCAGATGGCCTCCGAAGGCGCGTCCGCAGTACGAAGGGGTTTTGCCCTCTTCCAAGCTACTGAGGCCACACGGCCTTCGGCCACGATCTTGTTTTTGACCACGTCGCGATGGGCCAATGATATTCTGAGGGGTTTTGTTTGAGCAGCCTGTGTTGCGCAGCCTGCTCCCTGCGCGTACCAAATTATGCTGAGAGCAGCGCCTGCGCATGGTATGAGGACGATGGGGTCGGGCACCGCGTCGGCCCGGTCTTGCCACCTTCCACATCAACATCTGTGTCGTCGCCGCCGCCCCCTTCCGCCCCTGATAGTGTTCCAACCGCTGCTTGCTGCCCTGTCCTCCGCCTGCGCGCACGTATGCAGCATGAAGGCAAAACCGGCAGTTTTGCTGGCCTCAAGCATAGCGAAAGACTCGTGCACCAAGACCCCTATGGGTGCCAGCAGGATTCGCTGAGCATCAACGCCCAAACAAACTGAACTGGCTTTTCACGACTTCGGGGCCCAACCTAACTCACCTAACACGGCCCCGCCCGGGAGCCCCGGAGGGCCACTGCAATAAGCGACTGGCGTAGACAGGCGCAGGCACTGAGAAATTGACATCCGTACAGCAAAGACGGGAGCACGTATGAATGGAACAAGCTGCACCGAAAGCCTGTGTGCAATTTGGCGATTCTCCGCCCACGCAACTGATGAAATTTGCTATTGCCGTTTGCATAAACACGTTCACCGTGTTTGTTCCTCTTCCGGGAAGATTGGAGGACGACGCAACTACTGGCGCGGGGACATCATGAAGTGTGCAGTTGAATCTATGCGTCCTACAACCCACAACCAAGACAGCAGAATCTCCAACACCCAGCTCCCATGTCTCACAAACAAGCTCCTGAGCAAAACTATTGCCGCTTGCGGCCAGCTGTAGCTACCGCGTTGTGTCCCCCCTAAGCGCGGCAAGGCGCTGAGCGGGGAGTCCCTACTTGCTGGCCCGTTTCCCGCTTTTGCGGCCTGCGGGGCAGTCTTTGGTCTTGTGCGGCTTCAGACACAACTGGTACTCATGGACGCAGTTGTTGGGGCAAGGTTCCGCGATGCACCCTTGTGTTTTTGTTTTTTCCCCACAGCTCTTCTCCTCGCCCGGAACTCTTCTCCTCGCCCGGTCTATTCCTCGCTCATCCCTGGAGTGCCCAACCCCAAAGCGTCCTGGAGTGCCCAACTCTCGAGTGCAGCCCAACCAGTGTCCCGGAGCCCAGCCCCAGGGTCTCCCACCCCAGAGTCTCCCTGCCCACCACCAGATGCCCAACCCCTCCCTAAAGTGCCCACCCCGGAGTGCCCAGTTCCAGAGTTTCCTTGGAGTGCCCAACCCCAGAGTCTCCCTCGAGTGCCCAGCCCCAGAGTGTTGCTGGAGTGCCCAACCCCAGAGTATCTCTAGCCAGAGAGGGTGGGGATGTTCGAAGTAAAATAATGTTTTTTTTCGCGGACCTTGTTCGCCAGCCAAAAAGTCTCATGCGGGGTGGGGGGTCTGGGGACTGGCCGGCAATTCGAAGATGCGCTGCGCCGCGACCGCGAGCAACGCAGTCCATCGAGAGATCGACGCTGCCCGGGCCGCGGGCCGCAAGTGTGCCGGGACCACCACAGCCCGGTGGCGCGCGAGCAAGCGGAGGAAGGCGGCTGTTTCGGCGCCGACACGATGACTACGAGGCAACAGCGCCGCGCCCGCTGCAGTTCCGGATGCGCGCCTTGCAAATGCCGCTTGCGCCTGCCGCGGCAACGCAGTGCCCGGGCTCGACGTCAAGACGTGGGTCAGCGGCGAAACGAGGGTGGCGAGCTGCGCACCGCGCCACGGAGCGATCAGCCGGTCATCGGCCAGGGGCACGTCAATGTTCACGTCCGCGACACGCACATTCCGTGTGACGTGAACCCCGCCCTTGTGGCACACACGCGCAGCCGTTCGCTTGAGCGGAAAGACCCCCGATGTGGCGCAGGCGGCGCGGTGATCACCAAGGGGGTCCAGCCTACCACGACCGCTGCAGGATCGCGGGGAAAGCGGAATTGGGCGCTCGGAACTCGCAAGGCGAGACGGTGAATGCTCGAGTGGAGCGAGGCC